TGACTCTGGGGGTGCTGCGCAAGTGGGTGCTGAGCCTGGGGGTACTGAGCCTGGGGGTGCTACGACTGGGGGTGCTGAGCCTTGGGGTCCTTCGCCTGGGGGTGCTCCGTCTGGAGCTGCTGAGCCTGGGGGTGCTGCGTCTGGAGCTACTGAGCCTTGGGGTACGGAGTCTGGAGCTGCTGAGCCTAGGGGTGCGGAGCCCGCGGCCGCTGGACCTGCTGGTGTGGCGTTTGGCGGTACTGGGCATGGTGGTTCTCTGGGTGCTTCGTCTCGGCGGGAGCCACTCTCTCCACAGGAGCTGCGTGAGTGGTTTGCCCGGCGCTGGAGGCGTACTGCTGGAGCTGGTGCTTCTTCGGCTGCTGAGGGTGCTGGTGCCGCTGGTCTCGGAGGTGCTAGCCCTGGGAGTGCTGGAGGTGCTGGGCCTACGAGTTCGACTGGAGTCGGAGCTGCTGAGGGTGTTGGCGCTGAGGCTACTGCGGTCAGTCCTAGCGGTGATCCTGTTGCGGGTGCTGCTAGTGCTGCTGGAGGTACTGGAGCTGGAGGTGCTGTTGGCGCTGGTGCTACCACTGGGGGTGCTGGTGCTGTCTTTGCTGTGTCTAGAGTCGCCGCGCGGCCTCGGCCGTACTTTGTTCCGCTCCTTCAGCAGGTTCTTGGTCTTCCTCCTCCCTTAGAGTGTCCACCACCTGTCCAGTCACAGTCACAGTTACCGCCGGCCTCCCCACTACCTGCTCCTTCTCCCTACACTGGTCCTACTGGAGGTATTACTGAGCGTCGTGAGCCTGCATCTCGTCCTGCGTCGCCGGTTCGTGCTGCTTGCGCTAGTGGTCGCGGTTCGCATCAGCGTCCTCCTCCTGTCCTTGGCACGCACCGGATGTCTCTGCGTCCGTCCACTGCTCCTCTGCGTGCCCCTTTGCCTTCTCCTCCTGAGTCCTCTCTTCCTGCCCTTGCCGACCCGGAGTCGGACTCTCTTCGTGCTGCCAGTCCTACTGTCACGCGTCTCCTTGCTACTGTCGTCACTGACCCCTCTTTTGAGTCCACTGCTGCGTCTGCACTTGTTGCTGAGCTTGTCTACTTTGCTGCTCGCTGTCGTCTAGACTACGCTGCTAGTCTCGTTGCTGAGTCTGCGTCTGTCTGTCCTCCGTCCGTCGGGGGTGAGTGTGCTCTTGGCACGGACGTCCTTGAGGACAGGCAGGAGGAGTTCCAGTGTCTGGCTACTACTTCACCTCATCTCGTGTCGAGGCGGTAGAGGGTCCCTACTCCTCTCAGTGGCAGGCAGCTATGGATGCAGAGATGGCTTCTTGGAAGTCCACAGGCACCTACGTTGACGCGGTTCCCCCACCTGGGGCGAACATCGTCAGTGGCATGTGGATCTTCAGGGTGAAGCGGCCGCCGGGCTCTCCGCCTGTCTTCAAGGCGCGGTACGTGGCTCGTGGCTTTAGTCAGCGGCAGGGAGTTGACTACTTTCAGACCTTCTCTCCCACCCCGAAGATGACCACTCTTCGGGTGCTGCTACACATAGCCGCTCAGCGTGACTACGAGCTTCACTCCCTTGACTTCAGCACTGCTTTCCTGCAGGGTAGCCGACACGAGGAGATCTGGCTGCGCCGTCCACCTGGCTTCACTGGGACTTTCCCTCCTGGCACCCAGTGGAGCCTCCGACGGCCAGTCTACGGTCTCCGCCAGGCACCGCGCGAGTGGCACGACACACTGAGGACTACACTTGCGGCTCTTGGGTTTGCTCCCTCTATTGCTGACCCGTCGCTGTTTCTACGCACGGACACCTCTTTGCCGCCGTTCTACATCCTCGTGTACGTCGATGACTTGGTCTTTGCCACTGCGGACACTGCCGCACTCGCCCACGTGAAGTCCGAGCTGCAGAAGAGACACACGTGCACAGGCCTGGGTGAACTGCGCAGCTACCTTGGCTTGCAGATCACCCGCGACAGAGCACGCCGCACCATTACCCTGACTCAGTCACACATGGTGCAGCAGGTCCTTCAGCGCTTCGGCTTCACGTACTCCTCGCCTCAGGCCACTCCTCCGCCTACTCGCCACTCGCTCTCAGCTCTGCCTTCGGATGAGTCCGTAGAGTCGAGTGGCCCGTACCCAGAGCTTGTTGGCTGCCTCATGTACCTGATGACCTGCACACGACCTGACCTTGCATACCCTCTTAGCATTCTTGCACGCTATGTTGCTCGTGGGAGACACCGACCAGAGCACATGGCTGCAACGAAGAGGGTGTTGCGCTACTTGTGCAGTACGTCGGGCATGGGGCTAGTGCTTGGAGGGCAGAGTCCAGTGGTCCTCACTGGGCACGCGGACGCTTCTTGGGCTGACGACCAGGCTACGCAGCGGTCGTCACAGGGTTACACCTTCAGCCTTGGTTCCGGCTCTGTTTCGTGGCAGGCTACTCGCTCGTCTTCTGTTCTTGGCTCCAGTTGTGAGGCCGAGATCTACGTCGGGGCCATGGCTGCACAGAAGCTACGCTGGCTCACCTACCTGCTGACCGACCTTGGAGAGCCGCCTCGTTCTCCTCCAGTGCTGTACGTAGACAACAAGGCCATGCTGGCCTTGTGTCGAGAGCAGAGACTGGAGCACAGAACAAAGCACATTGCTCTTCGCTACTTCCTTGCTCGTGAGCTACAGCAGCGTGGTCAGTTGCGGCTTGCGTACGTGGTCTCTGAGGCCAACACTGCTGATGTTTTCACCAAGGCACTTGCGCCTTGTGATCATCAGCGCTTCTGTACTCAGCTTGGTCTTGTGCCTGTCTTGCCTCACTTGCTCACTTCTTGACCTTGCTTGTACTGTCACATATATATACACCTGCTCTTGTTTGCTTAGCCTCTTATATATATATGTGCTCCTGCATGTGAACTGGCCTTCTGGCCTTGAACTTGTGCTCGGAATGTGTGGTGACTTTGTGATCCACCCTGAGCTTTGTTTTGCTTTGCTTGACTGGTCTTGTGACCCCTTGTTCTCCCCCACTTTGCCTATGGGGGTGTGTCAAATTATAATGTTGTCTAGGCTTTAGTGGGGTAGCCCATATGGGGTACACATTTCTAGGGTTGCATATTTGTATCACTTTCATTCCATAGTGATTCATTCTCGTTCTACTTTCCTCATCCACCGGCTTCGTGACGATGACACGCCACCACTCCAAGGCGGGTCCTCGCAGTAACGACACGGCGTAACGAATCTTTGCCGTATCCTCCGAGACGTAGTTCACGTCGAAGAAAACATTCAACGTGAAGAGCCATGCCTGAACGGTAGGACCACCCCGTTGACTCGGTTCAAAGCATGGCGGACGCTGCGGCTTCAGCGGCATCGGCGACGGTAGAGCTGATTCGCCGGCCAGCACAGAAATCGTGACTCGAGGCTGGTTCCTGGCCGCATTCGTCGCGTCGGGGTGTGTTGTGCCGTGGTCGTCGTCTCCGTCGTGGCGGACGATGCCATCATTGGCCGCGCTTGCGGGTTGCTCCACACTTCCGTGTTGCGATGCCTGTGGTGCAGGCTGTATTAGAGTGCCAGGTGCTTGAGATTGTGCTCTTACGACGTCATTTTGCAGGGAAGTGCGTTCTGCCGTTAGGCGAAGAAGTTCCTTTGGAGCTTTCGTGCAGTTGTCGCAGCAGCTCGTCCAGGCGGTCCTGCGTGAGGGTAGTGACGTCGATATGATTGGCCATTCCGAAGGGCGTCGGCTCGTCTTAGTCTAGGCGCAGTCGTGGCTGCACGCGTTTACGAGGGAACGCGAGGACAGTGGCTCCTAGGGGCTAAGGTGCATGAGTCCCTTCGAGTGAAAAATCAAAAGTTGATTTCCTAGGGTGCGGAGATGCGCGGTCCGAAAGAAAGAGGCTCTGAATACCTAGTGTTACAGGTGCAATGAATTGAAGTACGCTAGCGAGAATTGCACTAAGGTGTCAAACGAGTACAAAATGTGAGCGAGGGCAGGAGCGAACATTTTTACGCGAAATTGGCAAACGGTAACCCGGTGCGTGCGAGCTAGCTAGTGCTACGCTGGAGGCGAGGCTCGGGCTAGTCCCGAAGCGTAGGCCGCCACGGCCGGTCCAGCAGTGCGAGGTTTGGTGAAACAGTGCGCGCGAAGTCGGCGAAGCCCCGTTAGTTGCAGGGCGAACAACGGCTGCTGCTGTACGCGATGTTGCAGGGCGCGCTAAGGAATATCGAGAAAATTCCTTACAGTATGAGACAAGAATGGTAAATGAGACGAAGGCAACCATGCCTCGGACTGCAGGGACTTGAGAGGGCAATTTTGTGTTCCATTTGAGAGCTCCCTGGCACAGTCGAACTTTGCACAGCTACCCTCGATGCTATTAAAATACCGTATAAGTAAAAAGGAAGAGAAAGTGGTTTCCACACAGTACTTGGCCACAAAAGTCGCCACTTCCAGACTGTCTATGTCCGACGCTGTAATCACTAGAGCAGGCAACAAAAGATCCAAACACATCACTGAATATGCGGAATGTACCGTCTCAACCTACATGATGCTGCAACCGCATGTCTTCGATCCAACCGAGTTTCTCTCAGGCCTCTGTAGTGCACAAGAACCTTTGCCCTTTCTCCCTTTCTTGGATCCCTCACTTGTAGAGCCGACAATACCCCGATGGAGTGGGCCACTTCTTGACTCCCCAGTCTTTGTCGGCTTCGGCAATCCATCTTGCTCGTTTTCGATAGCAGTGATGGAACTTCCAGCAACATTTTCGGCCACAATCTCTGCATGTGGTCCAACAGGAACATCTTCTGAATGATGACATCTGACAGCTTCACTGGAGAGGGGCATCGAATTCGATTGGTTGCACATCTGAGCAGGCAGGTCGTTTGCTGCTCCCATCCCTGGTAGGAGCGGAACACCAGGTTAGCACAAGTGTATCATTCATAACCAAATGAGAAGTTAAAGCGATAGCGTTGTTAGGTGACATGATTTATACTTCTTGCATACGTGATTGACATGCTCAAAATGACGCAGCAATCTAAAATGCTCCTCTTACCGTCCACCAGCAACTGTGTAGTAGCTGATTTGTGGCATGGCAAGTCCAGGGGCACTGCTGATGCCACCACTTCTGGCATAGATGGTGATTCAAGGGCCTCCACACGGATTTCTTCCACGTTTGTACCATCCGACTTCACGGGAACCTGATTCTGAGATGAGCTATCATTGCTGTTGACAGTTTGAGGCCTCGATACACATAAACCTGCACCATGGAGAAGATACATAAGTAAGCAGATTTTCCAACAGCAAAAGGCCATTATGCAGCTTACCTGGAATTGCTGACTCAGCATATGGGGATCTGGGAACATCAATGAGTTTATCTTGATCGGTACCCGATTTCCCAGCGAGGGGCACAGATTGCTGCTCCAGATGCTGGCCCTCGACAAGTTCCTTAATATCTGAACGAGATCCCGATCCTAGCCACTCATCAAGTGACATGCGGCAAGTGGGCTGAAGGGAACCTCCACAGGCATTGTTTCTTGAGATCACAGAGGTCTTCAACCGTTTAGTATAAACATCTCGACAAGCGCTCTCATTCAGCTCATCCAGATGATGCCCCTCCAAACCCAAACAATCACTTGGTTTGGTGCCACGAACTGCCACAATTGAAGTAAGCCAGCTGTCCAAACGTGATGAAATGGAGCAAACTTGGTGGACTCACCTTCAACAATGTCATCGGTCTCCACAGAAGTCTCGGACAGATTTGAATTTCCTGCACCGCTTTGAATTGAAGGACCAATATGTACAACAAACCTCAAATGCAATTCAGAGACACAAACCTTGTATGACATCTTCATTTGTGCCGATCATGTGGTCAGCCATGACTTCTGACTTTGGCTGCACAGAGAAATCAGAGGGTTTGTAAACGTTTCCTGCTGAAAAAAGAAGAAACAGGAGCTCACCTTATGGAGACCTTCATTTTTACTGGCGGGCAAGCCACTTGTAGAATTCTGTTGACAAAGAGAAAGTTAAGGGCTGGTCAATACATCAGTGTAAGCAGCAAAAAAAATATAGTGAATCATACATTCTCGGGACCATCAGCTTCGTTTGTCAACGATTTTTCTGTACGGGCATTGTAACCCGAAACCAGCCCACTTGGTTCCACATCCTTGCTGGTTGTGTACTGAACCCACGGAGAAACACTTGTACCCGGGCATTCTGGTTCTGAATCAGTTGACATCATTGACATTGCGAGCTGCACTGACTCTCCAGCTGCATCAACATTGGTGTTGATCAACCAGATCAGCCACATCATTCAGGAAAAGTTGGCATGGTGTGAACGTGACACATACCTGGCTTACGAAGCTGTTGATCACCAAAGTGATTCTTCAACTGTGTAGAAAAGAAAAAGGTAGTGATATCCTGTTGAAATTACTGGACTGAGGAGAAAATATGGTCTTACCACATCGTTATTGTGATCCTCCGTAGTCAGCTTCGCTGTGGAATTCTGCAGAAGAGCCTCAAGGAGCTGCCCGGATTCTGCAAGACAGGAGCGTAATGTCACTTCATCGTCCTTACATTCACTCCATACAAGTGAACGTTTTGACTGGAGGATGGTTCACCAGGAAAAGCAGTATCGCTTTCATTAGACTTTTCAATCGGCTTCACAATGTCTGCCGTTTTTGACAGTGATGGAAATAGCTCTGAATCTGAGCCCGCAATCGCATGTACAGGAGAATGTAGTTGCCCGTTCTCTGTTTGGGGAGTTTCAGATAAGCAAGCAATACTATGAATTCCGTTGTTACGAACGCATTCTTGTAGTTGCAAATACACATGAAGCATACCTTCTATGCCGTCTTCTTCTGCATCAAATGTTTGGCACCCCGTAACCGTAAATGCTGGCTGCTGAAAGACAAATGTTCATGTAACAAATACTGAACTGAACCAGCAGCAGGAACAAAAGGCCAGTGATAATGTATTGCTCACTTGATAAAAGTCGTCACATTCATGTTGTAACACAGCACTTACACTCTGTGTAACATACACTCTCAGCAAATGCAACAGAAAAAAGCAGCAGGAAAAGAAGAAAACACAATCTCAGCCTCACCAGATCCCGGGTCTCAGTTGGACGAGTTAGCATATCATCAATGGAGTTCTGTGAGAGATGAACATGAAATATAGAGAGTGAGGGAAAAGAAGAACCAGAGAGCACAGGCTAAGCTCACCTCGTGAACATCCTTGCTTTCACGGGATCGTAACGGATCAGCATAATTCTGCAAAAGGAGGGAATGGAGTGTCAGAAAATTCATACAGTTCATCAGTCTCAAACCTGAGATTGATGGTACAAATGTGAAGCTTGCCTCATATAAATCTTCAGCTTGACTTGCTAGCAAGCCATCAGCAGTGCTTTTGTCATCCATGCAGGGGGTTTTGGGTGCATCGACATCATTGAGTACCATGTCAGCTAGACATGCAGCTTCATTTTGATTTGAAAACTCTGCTTCGTGAACTGTTGCAAGCCGCAAAGGAGAATCGCAAGTCATCTCATCACCTGCACCATTATGAAAGGATTAACACATATATCCTTACACACTCAGGAACATAAATGCCATGCGAATCAACTCCACCTCTTGTGCAGTCTGATGCAGCATCAAATAATGTGGAAAGCGACGTTGGCTGGAAAGTCTGAACATTGGAGTGTCATGTGAATACGTAGCATAAACATGGAAGCTGCACCCAAGTCTCAAGCTCACCTCATGGAGTTTCCCAGTCTCACTTCTTCTGGCACCACCAGCTGACACCTGCGCAGGCAGAATGTCAACTGTCAGCAGTCTTCCAGCCCACAAAAATCATATATTTTCTGCGCTCCCACACTCACCAGATGTAGCTGGCCATCATCGGCCAGCGAGTCATCAAAGGGTTGTTTGTCGCCTGGCTGAATGATCTCTGAATAATCACTGCCTTGTGCAGTTGTGCTTTGCACACCAAGAATGTCCATATGGTCCAAGCTTTCTTCTTCTGGAATAGTTGCCAATCTTGAAGGAGAAAGGCACGTCAGCTCACCAGACAGCTTGTAATATGCGTCACACAACAAGGGAGAAAGAGTGATATGCGGAGTCGTCTTGGCGTCATCATTTTCGCTGGTCCCCTGATGTTGCAACAAAATATCTGACTCAGTTTCATGGTGTCCCTGGGGAAGAGAATCATTGACAGGAAGAAGAAAGAGTGGGGGCTGCAAGGATGATGAAAACGGCACTGGAACCTCCATTTTGGCTGATGGTGGGAAAGTTGGTATAAGTGAGGAGGAGCGATGATGAAAAGGAAGAGATTGAAGAGGAGGAGGAGGAGGAGGAGGAGGAGTAGAAAGAGGAGGAGGAGGAGGAAGAGGAGTAGAAAGAGGAGTAGAAAGAGGAGGAGGAGGAGGAGGAGGAGGAGGAGGAGGAGGAGGAGAAGGAGGAGGAGGAGGAGGGGGAGGAGGAGGAGGAGGAGGAGTACAAGGAGGGGGAGGAGGGGGGAGAGGAGGAGAAGTAGTAGGCAAAGGAGGAGGTGGAGGAGGAGTAGGAGGAGGAGTGCAAAGAGGAGGAGCAGGAGGAGCAGGAGGAGGAGGAGGAGGAGGAGGAGGAGGAGGAGGAGGAGGAGGAGGAGGAGGAGGAGGAGGAGGAGGAGGAGGAGGAGGAGTACAGAGAAGGGGAGGAGGGGGGAGAGGAGGAGAAGTAGTAGGCAAAGGAGGAGGTGGAGAAGTAGGCGGAGGAGGAGTAGGAGGAGGAGTACAAAGAGGAGGAGGAGGAGGAGGAGGAGGAGGAGGAGGAGGAGGAGGAGGAGGAGGAGGAGGAGGAGGAGGAGGAGGAGGAGGAGGAGGAGGAGTACAGAGAGGGGGAGGAGGGGGGAGAGGAGGAGAATTAGTAGGCAAAGGAGGAGGTGGAGAAGTAGGCGAAGAAGGAGTAGTAGGAGGAGTACAAAGAGGAGGAGGAGGAGGAGGAGGAGGAGGAGGAGGAGGAGGAGGAGGAGGAGGAGGAGGAGGAGGAGGAGGAGGAGGAGGAGGAGGAGAAGGAGGAGGAGGAGGAGGAGGAGGAGGAGGAGGAGGAGGAGGAGGAGGAGGAGGAGGAGGAGGAGGAGGAGGAGGAAGAGGAGGTAAAGAAGAAGGAAGAGGGGGAGGTGGAGGGGGAGTGGATCGAGAGTGTGGCGGAAGTGATGAAGGATCTAGTGAGTCTGCAATAGTTGTTCGTTGAGTTGTATTGTCAACATGATGAAGACCATCTGCCATGAAAAGCTTGGTGAGAAGAGCTATGAAGTTGCACAAGTACAGGATGGGATATACGAATACAATGAAACAATACCTTCGCTTTGTGGTGCCTCATCTATTTCGTACTCAGCTTGGGATAAGGAAACAGAGTGACTCCCTCGATTCCCACTGTGCTCTGCTTGTCCACTTTGTTCCCTCATGTTGGCCATTCTCGTATCAAACTCGCTGCTGCGCCTCTGCAATGCCATGAGTTGAAGCAGCAACCTCTCCTCATCTGTCAGCTCACCAATTGACCATGCACTGCAGCTGCTACCTCTGGTTCTTCTGATGCTTGAACGGTCTCGTGAAGGCAAAACCAAATGTCTCAACTCTGATGCAACCAGCTCTCCAGATTGACGTGTCTTGTACACATCACACGATAACATCTTTCCCAAGGGAGCAGATTGTATACCCGCCTTATGCTCAGCCCCAGCATCAGTCTCAATGGCATCAGGAATACCGGATTGATCTGCAGGATCAGATAAGGTAAATTAGTGGTAGTCATTTTCACAAAAAATCAATGCGCCCTTACCATCGGCAGGCTTCCTGAGCACCCTGTCTCCAGATGGCAGACGGCCTGCATCTAGTTGAAGGCATTCCTGTTCGGTCGAATTTTCTGGTTCTGCTCCCCTTGGTTTATGTGAGGTGGGTATGCTGCTCCACATGTTGGTCTCCAAAAACGAACTCTGATCGCCATAACAGGAAGGAGGCGTGCGAGAAGGTGACGTCTCAGGAGAAGGCAAAGCGCTAAGGGATGGTGAAAATAGCCAGGTTGACGCTGAATCTTCCCCCATGGATGCATAGTCTTCAGCATATTCAAATAAGAAATCGTTACTATGCAGTGCTGGAGGACTGGTTGGAATGTATGAGGTATGAAGCCCCTCAGACGATGCTGTTCGTTGGTTGTCGCTGATAATCTCTGGCGTTGTTGTAGGATGATTGTTGCTGAACTTCTCCTTCAAAATGAGAAGAAAAGGACGAATCAGATTCATTATCAAGAATTGTTGCACAATACAACATGATTATCGAGTGGTCAACGTACAGGTTGGCGAATGTGCTTGATCGTTGAAACCTGGCGATTTAAATCAGGTGGTGATGACTTCGACGGCCTCTGACGTGTCATAGGAGGGCACGAAGCTGGATCAGTCGAGAAAGGTTGGATTTCTCGTAACAATGTTTCCGTAGATCTTGGATCGGACGTCCTTTGATGGGACCTCGACTCATCGCCATAGATCGCGCTGGAAGTTGAAGTCTGCACTGACCTCCCCGGCAGATATTTGTAACTTCTCTGCGTGGCCTCCGCTGATGAAGGCTTTGATGCACTTGATTTCTTTTCCTCCCGAACCGGACCCTCTCGAGAAGCCGTAGGCAAATCTCGTCGAGTCAATCGGGGAATTCGCGACAGCGAAGGAATCAGGGATACGCCAGGTCGTACAACCCTGGTCCGCATGTTTTTTGGAGGCTTCGGAATGGCGGATGGCTTGGAGCCTGGTGTTGAATCGCCAGGAGACAGAGCTGGGGGATCTGGAGATGACCCTTTACGTAGACCAACAGATCGAGCACGCGGTCGTGACAACATGGAGGTTTGACCAGCCAAAATGTGTCCAGGCTCAACAACAACATCCTTATCTCGCTTCCGGTCTTGAATCGAAGGTATGGACGACTCGATTGTAATGTTGCTGGACGCTGATGCATCGTTGTTCACAGTTGTCGTCTCTTCCTGACACATAAATGTAAGGAAGAGACATAAGGCGCATGAAATTTCCACTGTAATCTGACGACTGCAACGGCGGAAGTCCGAATGCTTGCCTTATTAGTCATGCTTAGTCTTCTGACCACTGAAGGGGACCCTCCAAATCCTCGACTCGTAGAGCTTGAAGAGCGTAGCTCTTGATTGTTGAATGGGTCATATAACCTGCAGCGTTCGTGTTTAGGTTCAGTGTTTTCAAGGTCAAGTTTGAGCTTCACAGAATGATCATTACCAATCCGAAGGGGTCGTGCCTTCTTCCAGAGATATGCGTCCAAATAAATCGTCATATCGTCCGCTTTTGTGTCTGGTTTCGTCGCTGTGAATCACATTTGTTCCACTTTGGGTTGAGCCTTCTCCTCCGAGCTTCGGCGAATTCCTCCACAGCCGCATGTTGTGAAGAAGTTCCTCATCAATACTAAGGGATCTTCTTCGCGGACGCCTAGAACTGGGAGAGGAAGAGCGATGCGTTTGGTCTGCGTCGTTCGATTCAGCTGACTCAGCTTCCATGACTGAAGCCTCCATTACACAAGGAAAGTGGAGCCTACACAATGATTCCAAAACGAAGCTTGAAAATGTGGTAGACTAGGAGGAATCTCACGATCAGTGGGCACTGGCAGGCTGACACAGCGATCAGTCGTCCAAAGGCAAATCCGCGGATGCGTCAGGGTGGCGAACGCGCGACAAAGAAATACCGTAGCAGTATGTTACGGATGCAACCGACACTTCCACAGTTCTGCTATACACTGGTCAAGATTTTACCTTCAAAATATATAAGGCAATATGGGAAGAACATTAATCCTTTTAGAAAAATACTGAACGAGAAAATCACTATATTAACATAAAAATACGCGTAAAGAATAGGTATTTTGAACAGAATGATAACGATAATGAGTTTCAAGCATCCTCAAATTGTGATAATTGGTTTATTTAACACATCTTCTGAAAAATTAGGTAATTTGGACTTGAATTCGTATGCGGTAAGATCACAACAGGAAATCTCACATGCCCTAGGTGGCTGGGGAAAAAACCAATGCATTGGCAAACAAATCCGACATGTGTAGTGTCTATCGTTCATGCAAACGGGCAGCTGTTGAGTTCGTATAAGCATTATTGACTATACTGCGTACAACACCTGGTGGTCATGCACCTCCGCGCCTTATCATCAGCGGCCAGCCGCAAAATCAAGGTTTGTAGTCCAGTCACCAGCAGCAGCACTGTGGGGATCTCAGGACGCGGCACCTGTTTTCATTTTGCTAGGATCGATCGTGGGAGGGGATCGATGTGCCGCTTGTACAGTGTATTGGCGACAACGCCAATGCCTGGTATCCGTTTTTCGCTGAACGTCGAGAATGTACGGTAAACGGGTACCCAAATTGGTGGCACCTGCAGTTCGCACGATCGATGTGCCGTGATGCATGTGTCAGGGTTGGCGGGAGAGCATATCGCGCCACAGGTGACAGCCTCGATCGATCGGCGTCGCCCACGGTCGCAGGCAAAAAATTCTTGGGTCGCTGCGAATGGAATTGCTGGACGACCATCCACGCTCTGCCCTGATTGGCTGCGCGTTTAAAGCCCAGCCCCCGAATTACAAAGAAGCCTTCACAAACTGGGGCCAGTTTGTGAAGCACTCCTGCTGGTTTCGGGATAGCAGGGTTTAGGGGAGGTTTTCGAACCTATTTTCGCTGCTTTCCCAAACCTATTTTCCAGCGTTGACTTCCATTGAGCAATTCGGGTTCTGCCCTCTAAGTGTAATGGCAGCTCCAACCTGCCCGAGCCTGCAATTTCGAACCTGGCACCTATAGCTCGATGTGTCTACCCCACTGCAAATTTGCAGTATGGGCACATTGGTGTGCCGATCGATATGCCAGGATCGATGTGAGGCCACGATCCTTGTAAAATGAAAACAGGTGCCGCGTCCTCACTCCATCTCCCGCGCGGGTCGCAGCGCGTCGATGCACGCTTAGCCGCTTAAAGCAAGGGTGCACTTTGGGGGGGGTGGAGGCAAAGGTTTATCACTTGCCTCCACGTGGTTACCCGGTTTGGGGTTGGATCGAGACGCGAACAAGCAGCCAGTGTTGGCGGAGTTGCGCGGGTGAACATTCCCACGTCAGTAGCGTAAGGGGAAAGAGAGTTGGGAACTTGAGTTGGGGCCGACAGGCAGTTAGTGAACCAAAAACACATGAGTCACAAGCATCGTACACTTGCTTCCAAGCAACGAATAGCACAGGAACCACCACCAACAGCGCACCGCCCTGAGAAAGCATGATTTTCCGGGAGATAAACTAGATCGCCAGAGCATCTCAACCCTCCCGTATGCACGATTAGCACGTACATCTCTCGTCGCTCTCATCGCGCACGGATTTAGCCCTATCGCAAAACGCACAAGGACGCGTCTGAGCAGAGTGTGCATTTCGCCGCTACTCAGATTTAGCCTTGAGCAATCAGGCGGAGGGCCAACAGCGCACTCAAATCTTGCGTAGAATCGTGTGCCATAAACTTCACTAGAACCGTCAGGCTCGACCGCCATGAATTGAAGAGAAAACCGACGCGACCGTGATGTCGCCCTGCCTCGCCTCTCCCGTCACCGTCGCCAGATTTCCTCCCCGCCGTCAAAGCGCCAGCCTTGTTGCACCGCATCCCCCTCCCCTGTTGCGTAACCACTCGATTAGCGCACGATAGTCTTTCTGGCATCGGAGTCGCCACACCCAGGCGCGAACGTCACGGCGAGCGCGCCCTCTAATCGTCAGCTCCCGCGCCCGCACGTCGTCGCGAGCGCCGCCGCACATCGCGCGGTGGGCGCGCTCACAACGCTGCTGCCGGCCGCGCATAGCACCTTGACAGCAGCTCAAATCGCGACAGGATTGCGCGAGCGCGGAGGCAACAAAGCCTAGTCATACGGTGAGAAGATTTCCTCTTATCGTCGCTCTTACGCTCATTCACAGACCTGACGCGATGTACCGGCAAGAGGGACCCGCAGACAACCCTACACCCCACACGCATACCACTTTCTCTCCCCAACTCCCCACGGAAACCACGGTGGATCTTCCTGACTCCCCGCTGAATTGCTCCTTTCAAACCGTCAGGGCCCACCGCGGTACCCTCACTCTTTTTTATTCTCCAACTATTCCCAGAACCCGTGGCGTTACCCCACGCCCACACTTACTCCCCTCGCCTATACCCCTTGATCTCCCACGCTCCCCTGCCGCGCGGGGATGCCGTTTTCCCTGCCATACTCCCCTCGGTCGTCACCCTCTCTCTCCCTTACTCCCCTCTCTCGTACCCCTTTCTCTCCCATACTCCACTCTGCTACACCCCCGTCTCTCCCTTGCTCCCCTCTGCTATACCCCTTTATCTCACCACTCCCCTCGGATATACCCCGTACTCTCCGTTACTCCCCACGTCTATACCCCTTTCTCTCCCTTTCCGCCCTCGGCTATACCCCAATCTCACCCATGCTCCCCTCGGCCCCCTTTCTCTCCATCATATCCCACGGCTATACCCCTTTCCCTCCCTTACCCTTTTCGCCTATACCCCTTTCTCTGCCATAACACTCCTCGGCTATACCCCATTCTGTCCCTTACGCCACTCTGCCTTACGCCCCTGCTTCCCCCTACCCCCTTTACCTCTCTGCCTAACGCCCTTCTTCCCCCTCTCCCCTCTCTGCCTTACACCCATTTTCCCTCTTACGCCACTCTGCCTTACTCCCCTCACTTCGCTACTCCCTTCTTCCCCCTCTCCCCTCTCTGCCTTACTCTCTTCTTCACCCTTACCCCTTTCTGCCTTATACATTTTGTCCGCCTTTCGCCAATCTGCCATACTCCCATTGTAACACCTTTCCCCTCTCTACCTTACATCCATCCCCCCCCCTTTCCCTCTCTGCCTTTCACCCTTCTTCTCCCTCTTCCCCCACTGCCCACACACGTCTATCCCCTCTCTGTCCTAAACATCCTTCTCCCTCCTATCCCCTCTCTGCCTTACCCCACTTCTTCCGCCTTTCCACCCTCTCCGCCCTACACCCTTCTTCCCCCTTTTCCTCCTCCCTACTTCCCCTCCTCCTCCCTGCTTCCCCTCCTTCTCCTCCCTACTTCTCCTCCTTCTCCTCCCAGCTTCCCCTCCTTCTCCTCCCTGCTTCCCCTCCTTCTCCTCCCTGTTTCCCCTCTTTCTCCTCCCTGCTTCCCCTCCTTCTCCTCCCTGCTTCCCCTCCTTCTCCTCCCTGCTTCCCCTCCTTCTCCTCCCTGCTTCCCCTCCTTCTCCTCCCTGCTTCCCTCTCTCCCCTACCTGCCCTCTCTCCTCCGCCTTTCCTTTCTCAACTCCCTGCTCTCTCTCCTCCCCTCTCAAATCTCAACTTGACCTCTCCTCTCCCTCTTACCTCCCTCATCTCCCTTTTCTCTCTCGCCTCCCAGCTCCCTATCCCTTCAGCCTCCCAGCTCCCTATCCCTTCAATGCCCTCTCTCCCCTTACGTGCTCCATCTTTCCTTCGCTCACTCACACACCGTGCTCCATCAATCCTTTGATGACGCTGTCCTCACTCTGTCGTACCGTCCATTTTCCCATAGCTCACTATGTCATCCCTTCACCCTCTTCCCCGTGCCTTTCTCTGTCCTCCAGGGTTTAGGTCCTTTGCTCAACCCGCCTTGGCCTCAGCCTCACCTTAGCCTTGCGGGTCACGACATGCGCTCGCGTCCCCACTGCTTTCAGTCCGCCGCTTGAGAAGAGCAATTAGTGCTGTATGAAGATAGTAAGATCAGTCTTACGACAACATTTGGTGACACTGATAGGCTTGGGCTGCGCAGTGCGCACGTGTTGCCATAACGGTAGCAGCCACTATTCTCACGTAGTGTTAGTATTCTCTCTGACAATGCTGCCAACCATACACACTCGGTGTGGTGGTACGGTTTGCCATTTATGAGTAACTATTCATGTTAGAAAGGGTTTGTAAAGTGCGCCATCCAAAGTGTTGACATACCCCTCCACATTTGTACACATTCGGGTGTACCGGCTACTGGTCAGCGACAAGGAGGCATATTCTGGGGATCTTTGCACTGACAAGTTGACAACATTAGGAATACGGCACATAGAACTGAAATCTGTACAGGCGGGGGTTCTTGACTCTGACTGCTGGGACCAGGGCAGGAAAGGCCGCGCTACCATAATACAGGTTGGATTTGACTTGTGGTGCTGGGAGGAGTTGTTGAAAGGGTCCTGATGGGGGGAGAGACGCAGAGAGAAGGCAATGATTAGCAAAAGACAAAACCTGGGCCCGCAGTACTCGCATGGACAGTGCACAACCACTATGGGGACAGACCAGCAAGGTTACCCCGAGTGAGCACAGACAGCAGCCCTATCTCACCATCTACTCGTGCATGTTGATCACCTCGCGCCCTAAGAGATGTTGCATGCGCATGTCAGCGCGCACTGCCCTCATGCGACCCCACAGGAACGAGTGCAGCAGCAGCAGCCGCATCCCCGGCCTCCCCTCGCTCCCCGGCCCGCCTGGCCACCCTCCTTACTTCCTTACGCCTTCCCCCTCCACCTCCCCCTCCTCCGCGTTCCCCTTGGCCGCGGAGGGCGAGGAGGGGGGGAAGGGGACATGCAGCAGCGCAAGCATGTGCGCCATGGACGGATGAACGATGGGTCCATTGTGGGGGCAAGGAAGGAGGGGAACGGGGGAGGAGAGGTGAAGGACGGAGAAAGTGGGGATAGAAGGTGCCTCAAAGTGCAATGCAGCTCGGACAAAGGTCGGATGAAGTTGGGACGCAGCAGGGAGAGCATGTGGGCCATGGTGGTGTGGAGGACAGGCATGGGGCGGATGAACGAGGACAGGCTGGGGAAGGGGAGGGGGGGTGAGGGGTGAGAAGAGGGTGTGGGTGGAGTGGAGTGGGGCTGAGTTGAGTGGGTGAAGATGGGTTGAGCAGTGGGAGATACGACAGTGGAGGCAGCAATGGTGGAAATGCGGAGCAAGCAAGTGGAATTGAAACCTGTGTTCTCTCACTTGCATTCCAACCCTCCCTCCCGCCCCCCCTCTCCCCCACCAACCCCTCCGCCTAAACTTCTTCACCATCAGCTGTTCCCCCTTCGCAGAGGTGCCTCACCTCCCCCTCCCCTTCCCTTCTCCTCCGCACCCGCCACCTCATATCTGATCCAGGCCTACCTTTTTCACCGCCAGCTGCGCATTCGTCCAGCGCCCCGCTCCGCTCCGTCACCTCTGTCTCGTGCGCTGGGGGGTGAGGAAGAGGGGGCAGCGGAAGGGATGGGGGAAGGGGAGGGAGGGGGGGGGAACTATATGAGTCGATTCAAAAAGCTCCCCACTAACTCTCTCACTGACCGCTCATGCGCTGTGAAGGGGAGGAGGAGGAGGTGGGGGGAGGAAGGAAGAGCAACTTTATGGATCAGTGGACTCACAAAGATCCCCAATGCGCTCCCTCACCTCCCTCCCTCACCACGCGCATGTCCCAGCAACGGCCTCTGCCAGCTGTGAATCAGCCGTGGTGAGGCTACAACATCTACCTTGCAGAGGGGGATACGGGGGTTGGTGAGGGGGGAAAGACAGTAAGCAGGGGGTAAATATGCGTTTCAACAGGGGGTCAAGCGAGTGAGCAGGGAGGTTGAGTGTAGGGAAAAGGAGAGGCCCTCAAAAAGGAAGCCGCCGTATGGGGCATAGTGGTGGGAAGGTGAAAGGAAGGAACGGGAGAGTGAAAGGAAGGAACGGGAGAGTGAAAGGAAGGAACGGGAGAGTGAAAAGGGAACCTATAGGCTGGGAGGTTGGTAGGATAAGAAGGATGGCAGAGAGGAAGGCAGAAGGAATGAGAAGTTCTTCTCATTTGGGAGGATGTGGTTGTGATTGAAGCATAGGGTGAGGGAATGAGAAGGCGGGGAGGCGGGAGACGAAGGCGACGACTGCAGGGAGGGGAGGGGAATGCACATGGGCGACGGGGGAAGGAAGCGAGAGCGAAAGACGGAATGAGAAGAGGACAGTGGGGAGAGAGGAGGACAGGGGGTAGAGAGAAGGACAGGGGGGAGAGAGAAGGATAGGGGGGAGAGAGGAGGACAGTGGGGAGAGAGAAGGACAGGGGGGAGAGAGGACAGCGGGGAGAGAGAAGGACAGCGGGGAGAGAGAAGGACAGCGGGGAGAGAGAAGGACAGCGGGGAGAGAGAAGGACAGCGGGGAGAGAGAAGGACAGCGGGGAGAGAGAAGGACAGCGGGGAGAGAGAAGGACAGCGGGGAGAGAGAAGGACAGCGGGGAGAGAGAAGGACAGCGGGGAGAGAGAAGGACAGCGGGGAGAGAGAAGGACAGCGGGGAGAGAGAAGGACAGCGGGGAGAGAGAAGGACAGCGGGGAGAGAGAAGGACAGCGGGGAGAGAGAAGGACAGCGGGGAGAGAGAAGGACAGCGGGGAGAGAGAAGGACAGCGGGGAGAGAGAAGGACAGCGGGGAGAGAGAAGGACAGCGGGGAGAGAGAAGGACAGCGGGGAGAGAGAAGGACAGCGGGGAGAGAGAAGGACAGCGGGGAGAGAGAAGGACAGCGGGGAGAGAGAAGGACAGCGGGGAGAGAGAAGGACAGCGGGGAGAGAGAAGGACAGCGGGGAGATGCAGCGATGTGGCGGCGATGGGGCGGTGATTACTTGCTGAGTAGGCGAGGCGGCGATGTGGCGCCCCCTGGCACGTCTCCCCCCTCCTCCACTCCGCTCCCCTCTTCCTCCCCTTTCGCCCCACTGCCCCGCTCTCTCCCATGAGAGATTTTGCCTCCGCTGCTGCAGGCGCGCGCGCATCGGGGGAGGGCGTCCGCAAACCTGCGGAGGTTGGCATAGAGGCGACTACAACAGATCGACTGTTATTCCTTCGCTAAAAGTTTCTTTTTAGACTGCTGCTCGCCTAACTTCATGGCTGAGGGCGTCCGCAAACCTGCGGAGGTTGGCATAGAGGCTGTGCGATGCGGGAGGCGTGCGGGAAGCGTGGGGGGAGAGTGGTCTGGCTGGCGGGGGAGAAGGCCTTGGCCCGCGCGCTCGCTGTCGCACTCCACACCCTCTGCGCCTGGGCTCTGTCAGTGCTGCCAGGGCGATTGAGGCCAAGGGAGGAGGGCGCGGCGATGGAGAAAGGGAAGGGGGCGTGGGCGGAATGGGCGGCGCAAATGCATGGTGCGCTGGCGAGGCACCATCACGTGCGCGGGCGACTGCTGCGGCGGCTGCCTCTAGCATCGTTCAACCCAGCACCCCTGCTGTCGTCACGGCTGAATCTCGCCCCCTCGCCGCCCGCAACCGTTACTCCCGCGGCTTCCCACTGCCCCTCGCCCTCACCGCGCAGTGCTGCAGCGGAAGGCGCAGCAGAAGCGCTCATATGCGCGGCAAGGTTGGCGGAGGAGGAAGCGCGCGGCAGCGACACGTCCACGCCCACCGGATGGCGCGGCCCCGCCACGCCCATCGCGTGCTTCGCTGACAGCAGGTGAGTTCGGGCGAAAATGCAGGGGAGAGTCGCTAGATGAAAGCGACGGAACAGGTTTGCAAGGTGAAAATGCAATGGGAAAAACGAAAGGGGTAAGCTAGGACGGCAACACGACGCACCGCGCAGGCGACGACGCCGCGAGCTAGTCGGGATGAAACTACTCGTGGGCTATGTCGTAGTGACGGACGGGAATGGTTGCTAGATTACTGCTATGTGTAATGTCGTTAGCACTCGGCTTGAGGTCGAAGCTCCTCTCCCTTGGATTATCACTCGCTTTTGTCAGGTTGATCGACGCAGTTTAGCTCCGCTTCTCTGTTTGCACCCTCGCTTGATTTCCGCCCTTCCGCGGCGTGTTCCCCTAACCCAACCCTCATACGAAACTGGTTGGCATCGCCAGCCTTGTTTCAATTCCTCGCACCAGCTTTCCGTGCCCTAAACAATTCGCCCTCGAATCAGCAAGCGCCAAAGGGTGTGCACTAACATTGCCCCCAAAAACCACCCCTAGGAAAGTGCACCCTTGCTTTAAAAGCGTCGCTGGCTGTGGTTCCGCCGAGTCTCCCGCGCTGTCCCGACCTGCTGCGATAGCGATCCTCGCAACCTGTCGCACCCGCCGCACCCGCCGCCGCAGCGACAGCAGCAGCAGCGATGGCCGTAGCGGCAGCGTCGACGAACCTGTTCTTGTGCAGCCGCGAGAGGCTGGCTACATCTGACGCGCAGCGGACGCCTACAAGATTAACTAGACAAACAGCATTGACAGTGTCCGCTATTTCGCCGTCCATAACGCTCTTTCCGCCGCATCAGCCTCTCGCTCCTGCTCCGATTCGGGTTGGTCAATCTCAAGCGCAGGTCCATGCTGCTCTCGCTCGGCGCGCTTTGCCGCGGCTCGTGAGACCGCAGCAGGTACGCAGGAGTTGGCGTGTAGCGTGCGAGGAGTCGCGGCACGTGACGGCGGACGGCATTCGCGACGCGGAGATTTCCGAGGATCGCGCGTTCCGTGCGTCAGGCGCTCCCCGTCGATCCCGCTTTGCCGCTGCGCCCGGCCCCGCGGGAGGGTTACCAACGGGAGGGTTACAGTCGATCGCAAGTTCTCGAGGCGCATTTAGCGAGGATGGGCAGGGGGTTGCATCAGCGAAGCGGCGAGTGCAGGGGCCGTGGAGGCAGCACTCCTCATTCTTGCTGCGATCCGTCGATCATGCCGCTCTTCACTCTCTCCCGCTCCGCTCGTCTTCGCCCTCCTCCTCCTTCTCGCCCTCTTTCCGTGCCTCCTCGTCGCATTGGCGGGCCTCCGCGGTTCCTGCAAGTTCGGCAGGAGGCTCGGCAGGCTCCATCTCGTTAGAAGCTGACGCGTTAATGGGTACGGGCGCGGCGCAAGAGGCGGCTCTGGCGGAGAAAGCGATCGCGCGAGCGGCGGCGGGTGTTGGTACTGGCGCAGGCGCGTTGACTGTAGCGGGGGGTGGACGAGACGACAGGCGTAGAGATTCAAACGTAATCGATAATCTTACCTCTCGTGCTGCCCCATCCTCCAGTGATTCTCGACAGCTAGCTCTTCTTCAAGCTAATACGCGTCACAAGACATCTTCTGCAGCTTCGAAAGCGTCTAACTCCCACCCCCTCACTCCCGGTCCTCCGCCGTCTTCTCCGTCCCTCCGCCTGTCGTCCCCCGCCTCCCCCCGCGCGCTCCCCCTCCGCCGCCGCCCGTTTCTGTTCCCCCTCCGCCTCCTCCGCGTGCGCTTCCGCCTCGCGCGCCGCGCCCTGCGCGCGCTCACGTTGCGCCAGGCCGTGGGCATGCTGCTCGCGGTTTCCTATTGGCTGCGCTGGCCGCTGATCGCGCTGGCGCTGATGCTGGGTGCCACGTGGCAGATGAGGAATCCGGGAGTGCGGGCGGCAAGGCCCGTCGCGTATTCTGACATGGTGGCAGCGGTGAAAGCGGGGAGAGTTAAGAACGCGGCTATGGAGGAGAGCTCGAACCGCATCTGGTTCAACATGCATAGTCAAAGCGCTGCTGACGTGGCCTCGGCTGCTGCTGATGCATCTGCTACTGGTGTCACCGCCACATCTGCTGCAGTATCTGATCAACTAGCTGACAAGATGGAAGCAGCAACAGCAGCACCAGCAGCACCAGCAGCACCAGCAGCAGCAGCAGAGACTGACATTGAAATTGCGCTTACAAGCACTCCTACGGCTGCCGTCGCTGCCGGTTCTGCCAGTGCTGCCACTCCTGCTCTTGCTCCCGCTCCCATTCCTCCTGCTCTCACCTCCCCACCGTCTCTCCTCCCGCCCTCTCCCACCCACGCCTCCTGGCGCTCCTTCCTCGTCTCCCTCGGCCCGCCCTGGTCCTCCCTCGTGCGTCTCCCAGCCGATCCCCCCTTCGCCTACGTCTCCCGTCGCATTCACAACGACGAGTCATTCCTCCTCCCCCTCCTCATCACTCACAACGTGCGCGTCGCCTCCGTCCCAGTCCCAGCCTCCCAAACCCTCCGCACCGTTCTGTTAACCGCGCTCACCGTTTGGATACCCGTTGCACCGCTGATTTACCTCATGATGAAGCAGCTGAATGGGGGGAGGGACGGCGGGTGGCGACGGGGGGGAGGGGGCAGGGGTGCGGCCGGAGGGAAGGGTGGAGGGAAAGGGGGAAAGCGAGGAGCAGGAGGAGCGAGGGGGGCGGCAGGGGAGGTGAGATTCGAAGATGTAGCTGGGGTGGACGAGGCGAAGCGAGAGCTCATGGAGCTAGTTCAGGGCATCAAAGGAGCTGGCGCGTTTGCTGCTATGGGCGCACATATCCCCAAGGGGGTCCTCCTCATCGGCCCCCCTGGCACGGGTAAAACCCTCCTGGCCCGCGTGGTAGCAGCAGAGGCGGATGTGCCGTTTTTCGCTGCGTCTGCGAGTGAGTTTGTCGAGATGTTTGTTGGGAGAGGCGCGGCCCGCGTGCGGGAGCTGTTCCGAGAGGCGAGGAAGGCCGCTCCGGCGATCGTTTTCATAGATGAGATTGACGCGGTGGGGGCGCGGCGCGGCGCGAGCAGCAACGACGAGCGGGACCAAACCCTCAACCAGCTGTTGACAGAGCTGGATGGGTTTGATTCGCCCGATGATGGGGTGCTGCTGCTGGCTGCTACTAACCGGCTGGATACGCTTGACCCGGCGTTGACTCGCTCGGGGAGGATTTCGAGAAGGGTGATGGTGCCTCTGCCTGATGTGGATGGGCGGAGGGATATTCTGAGAGTGCACATGCGGAGGATGGGAGAGAGGATGAAGGGAAGGAGGAGCGGTGCGGGGGAGGGGCGAGTGGGAGGAGGTGTGGTAGGGGGTAGAGGCGGAATTGGAGGAAGAGTGGGGAGTGTGTGGGATTTGCTGGGGGCGGAGGAGGAAGAGGAGGGGATGAGGACGGTGGTTGCGCGGTATTCAGAGGGGTTCTCAGGGGCGGACCTGGAGAACGTGGTGAATGAAGCTGCATGGCTTGCTGCCAGAAGTGGTGAGTGAGCTGGATAATTGTGTGTTGCTTCATTGCTTTCTTCCCTTGTTGCCCTGTTTTCTTGCTCGCTTGCCTGCTTGGAAAACGTGCTGAATGAAGCTGCGTGGCTCGCTGCCCGGAGTGGTGAGAGCTGCATGGATGGATGACTGGATGGACATATGTTGTCTTTATAAAATCTCCTCCCGACTTCCCCCCTTCCCCACCTTCAAGCTTTGAATGCCATGCCTTGATGTCTTGATGACTCGATCACCTTTCTACCACCCACTTCTAACTTCTGTCTGTCTGCCTGTCTACTCACACTTACCATGCTTCCACATTCACCATGTTTGTTTACTTGCTTGCTTGTTTGTTTTGCCCCTGCTTTTCTCCCACACCCTCCTGCTTGCCGCATTGCGTGCAGGCGAGGCACGGGTGAGTCTGGACCATTTCCTCGACGCGGTAGAGCGCACTCGCAATGGCATCGGCATCACCACCACCACCACTGGCCTTCGCATCAAGCCCCGTGCCCGTGGCAGCAGCAGCAGCAGCAGCAGCAGCCCCCTGCTTGGGTTTCTATCCCGTGCCCTTGGACCGTTGGCACAGCAGCAGGAGAAGGATGTGCCTGCGCGTGCCATCTCACCCGGGATCTGAATCTTCGAATCATGAATGAACGAATGAGCTATCCAGGCGCCCTGAGCTGCCTTGAGCCTGGTAGCCCGGTTGAGATGGGTTTAGTGGAGTCGGTAGTCTAGCCCCGCTAACGCACCTCTGCTTATAAAACCATCTTTTCTGGCTAGCTACTATGGTAGTACCGGTATCAGGATTCACAACAGTATATGTGAGGATGGGAATGTGCAGTGCATGCTATGCTCGTGCTCCTAGCACAGCACAGCTCAGTTCACCCAGGATACTGAACTGTATGACTGAGAGAGTATCTTAGTACCGTATCAAGGTGCTATGGTATTCCGTAATCTGGTCCTCAGATGCCAGAACACCATTGCTCGCACAACAAGAGATGCCATCCATCGGTGAGCTGGGTCTTGTTTTGAGAAGTCTTTTACAAGTCACAAGTGATGCCCTGATTCAGTGAGGTGAGGTGAATCAGTACCTACCAATCAGTATCATTCAGGTATGTTAATGTTTCAGCACAACGCAACACCCAAACCATACAATACAGTGCATGTTAAATCAATCCATAGTACCTAACAACTACCAGCCCCACTCTTCCCTCCCACTAACCTGACCACACCCCCTCCCCTCCCCCCCTCCCCGCCCTCCCCTCCCCCCCCCCTCCCCTCCCCCCCCCTCCCCTCCCCTGCAACACCCCCCCACCTCATCCCTCTACTCACTCCCACCCACCCATCCCACCTAATCTAGGCCCATCCTTTACCGTCTTCTCCCTTCGCAACCTCTTCTGCAACGCATGTCCCTGCACCGCATGCAAGAGTGGTTGACAGCACAGCAAGCAGTTAGGTTCAGTACCAAGGGCAAAAGCGCCCATCACCTGCTCTCCATCCTCTTCAGCACCTCCCAACTCAGCTTCAGCAATTCGCTCCTCCTTCCGCCTCCTCTTCCTCCTTCCTCTTCTTCCTCCTCCTCTTCCTCGAATTCTTCTTCTCGTCTTCTTCCTCCTCCCCTTCCTCCTCCTCCTCTTCCTCCTCCTTCTTGTCCTCCTCCTTCTTGTCCTCCTCCTTATCGTCCTCCCATTCGTTCTCACCACGAGAACTTCTACCCCCTCTGCCTCTGCTTCCCTACCAATCTCACCCCCCTCTCGCCTCTCCCTCACCTCTCACCTCGTCCGCACCTCCTCCCCATCCTCCTCCTCCTCTATCTCCCCAGACGTCACCTCCCCCTCCCAGTCCGCCCGTGCACTGAACCAACCCCTTCTCTTCCCACTCGTCGCCTCGTCCTCGCCATAAGCAGCCCCACTACCGAACTCCCCGCTCATGCTCTCACTCACAACAGCCAGCGTTGCCGATGCCGTTGCTGCACTCAAGCTCTGGCTCTGGCTGTTCTCACACTCGTATGAGTCGCTCCGATCACCATCACCATCCTCCTCGTCCTCCTCCTCATCCCCATCCTCATCAGTATCTTCTTCATCATCATCGCTTTCCTCCTCCTCCCCCTCCTCCTCGTCTTCTTCCTCTTCCTCTGAGTCCAGGTGTAGTTTCGGCATGGGGGTGCCAGCAACAGGCAGTGGGGAAGCAACAGCAGCATCAACAACCCCAGGGCTGCGCTGCTTGAACGACAGCTCGAAAACGACCTCATCAGCAGGCGCGTTCCCTGTAAGCCTGCAGTCCTTGCCAGGCACGGCCCCTTCCACTGCTGCAGCTCCATTAGTACTACCACCAGCAGCACCACCAGCAGCAGCACCAGCAGCACTACGAGCACCATCACCAGCACCGAGAGCAACAAGCTCCCCCTGTAAGTCCAGCCGCAACATCTCCAATGCCGTGGCCGCCTGGTCCATGGAGGGGTCAACTGTCACTTCATCCGTGCCAGCTTTTCTCCCTTCCGCATCGCAGCACTTCTCCTTACCAGCAGCACCAGCAGCATCAGCGGCGGCACCAGCACTACCAACACCACTATTAGCACCGAGAGCGACGAGTTCCCCCTGCAGGTCCAGGCGGAGCATCTCCACAGCGGTGGCCACCTGGGCCATGGACGGGCGTGCAGTAGGGGCAGGCAGCACACAGCGCAGTGCCAGCTCCACCACTCCACTCACCGCCGCCACACACGCTGCTTCCACCGCCGCACTCACCAACCCCGCTGCTGCCCCCTGCCTCCCTGCTCCTGTTGCTTCCTGTCTCGCTGCTCCTGCTGCTGCTCCCTTTGTGGCTGCTGCTGCTGCTTCCCTTCCCGACTTCCCGGTCACAACTGGAGATCTCCAGGACCACGCAAAGAGCTTGCTTGCAGCAGCAGAACCCGCGCTGCTGCGTCTGCTGCTCCTGCTGCTCTGAGTAACCCCTGAGTATGAGCTCACCGCGGTTGCTCCAGATTCGCCCTCCTCCTCCCCCTCGTCCAGGGTGCTTCTGGTGAAGGTGGAATCTGTGCCGGCGCCAGCAGCACCAGAAACAGCCGTCGTGGCGGTGCTTGTACTAGCACAGGACGCCAACCCACTCACCTCGCTCTCTTCCCTACACACCACCCGGCCACTGCCGCTGATCTCCGGTTCAGCCCAGAGGCCCAAACCCGGGTCTACAATCACACGTGGGTCCCCGCCCTCCAGAAGCATCTGAACCCATGTGACTATATGGAGCGGCGAGTGGCGCTCGTGGTGCGGGGGAGAAGAGCGGGAGGAGCAGCGGAAGGATGGCGAGGTAAGGGGCATGGGCGTGGGTGTGGGTTGGTGTGTGGGAGAGGTGGGGTGGGCGAGAGGTGATTTGTCCAAGGGAAGGGACCAGAGGGACAGTTTGCTTGCTGTCTCCTCCTCCTCACTCTCTGCCTCACTCCCTCCCTCACTCTCCGACTCACGCCCCTCCTCAGCAGGCCCTTCCCTTGGGTGTCGCCCCCTTATCCCTCCTGCTCCCCCTGCTCCCGCTGCCTCCTCATTTCCTCCTGCACCCTTAGCTGCTGCAGCAGCAGCAGCAGCAGCGAGGGCAGCGAGGCGCAGGTCTCTCTGTCCGCGCACAACGGGTCGCCTACCCGTCACGAGCTCTAGCAGCAGCACGCCCACGCTGAACACGTCACCTGCCACCGTGGCAGCCACGTGGGGCTCCAGGCACGGGGATAGGGACGCGTTCTGCAGCTGTTGCTGCTGCTGCTGCCACGTGTCTGCGTATGCTGCGCCATCGCTAGATGTATCGAATACCACCTCGCGCTGACTCCTTCCCCGCTCCCTCTCCCTCTGCTGCTGCCGCTGCCGCTGCTGGTGCTGGTTCTGATGATTATTATTGTGCGCTTTCTCCGCCTCTTCCTCCTCTTCTTCCTCTTCCCCCCATTCCAGTCCCCGCACCCCACCCCCCCCGACCCCCACCGACTGCACCAGCAGCGCGCGCAGATGCTCCCCGCCGATCACCCGCGCGCGCCCCTCCCCGTCCACAATCACGTTTTCCGCGGACACTGCGCCGTGCGCGCGCGGAGGAAGCAGCAGCAGGCGGGAATACAAGCGCTCCTTGCGCCTGGGGGGTTCGTGCGCCTGCAGCTGCGCGTGCAGGTGCTGCAGCGCGCTCGCCACGTCCGCCGCGACCTGCAGCCGCTGGGGGAGCGACAGGGCCGCTCCGTGCGCAACTGCCCGCGGAGCTGCAAGCGGCGGCGGGGGAATGGCGGAATGGAGCGCGGCGGAGAGCGCTTCCCCTTCCGCCATCTCCAGCACGAGTATCCTCTCCGCGCATTCGCGGCAGAACGCCACCACGCGCGCAAGGCGCGGGTGCGCCATGCGCCCCAGCGCCATGGCGGCTTCCGCGAACGCCTCAGCCGTCATCGACACCACTGCCTCTGGCGATGCCGCTGCTGCTATTGCTCCTCCTCCTCCCCTTCCTCCTCCTGCTGCTGCTGCTGCAGCGGCTAGAGCGTCTACTCCTTTCTCCGCTGCTCCTCCCCTGCCCCTCCCCTCGTCCCTCTCCTCATCCCCTTCTGACGATCGTCCGCTTCCCGAGCCTCCAGGGGAGGTTGGGGAGGGAGACAGCAGGGAGAGCTTGGCACGCTTCACAGCCCAGACCTGCCCCGAGGCTGGGCAGCAGGCTCGGTAGACAGCGACTGAGCGCCTCTCGTGGAGAATGCGAGCCTGTGCGAAGTTGTCAGTCATCGCCAGCACCTCCTTGAGACTCATTTCGCGAACGCCCGCCCATTTCGCCACTGCTGTGGTAACCCCCTGTTGGCGAAGAGCGCCTCCCGCAGCTGCACCAGTGCACTTGGCGCTGCTGCCTCTCCATGCGCCCACTTCATGCTTGCCTTGCTCATTGTCCTCGTTATAACAACGCTCGCTCTTTGCCTCCGCCCCATTCAATCCATCTCTCTCCTCAACGCTAGATTCCACACTCTCCCTGTTACTCCAGTTCCTCCCTTCACTCGTCCCCTCTTTCCCCTTTTCATGCTCATCACTATTCCCTTCCGCCCTCCCCTTCTCACCCCCTTCCTCGCCCTCCTCGCTCTTCTCACTCCCCTTCTCACTTCCTTTCCCACTCTCCTTCAAACCCTCCTTTGCATTCGCCCGTCCTCGCCACCACGAGCCGAACCCAGTCCACCCACCTGCCGAACGCACCTCGCCGCCATTACTCTCCTCTCTCTCCGCTCTCACCGCTCGCTCTGCCCTCGCCTCTTTCGCCGCTGCAGTCGCATTAGCAGCAGTAGCACCGACAACAACAGCAGCACCCGCAGCACCCGCAGCGGCAGTAGCTGCAGCAGCAGCAGAAGCTGTTTCTACCTTCTCTTCCTCTTCCTTCACTCCTCCGCCCGCGCTTGCCTCACTCATCTCCTCCTCCATTCCCTCATCCACCGCTGTCAACCGTTCCAATTCCTCGCTCGACGCTTCAAACACCCCAATCACCTCATCCCCTCTCTCTACACCCATCTCACCCTCACCATCACCACCCACTGCTCCTTCTCTGCTTTTCCCGCCGCGGCTCGAACCAGAGTCAGCCACGCGGCTAGTGGGCAAGCTAAGTCGTCCCACACTCGCCCACGCCGCCGCAGCAACCCCCGCAATTGCCGCGTGCGCTCCCACCATCCACCCGCCATTTCCTCCTCCTCCTCCTCCTGTTGCTGCTGCTGCACCCTGTTGCTGCGACGCCGTATGTCCCTCCTCTGCGTCCCCTCCCGTCGCTCCTCCCGTCGCTCTTTCCTGCTTTCGAGCCGACCCCCTTGCTGAGAAGGAGCCAAAACCGAACCTCCCACTACTGATGCTGCTGCCGCTTTTGCGATCAGCAGCAGCCGCAGCTGCAGCGGCGGCAGCAGGCGTGGATGGTGAATCAGCAGCAGCGGAAGCAGGAGGAGGTGAGAGATCGGGCGTATGACACGGAGACATAAGGAAAGACGGTTCCTCTTTGTCTTCCTGCCTCTCCTCCCTCTCATCCCTCTCCTCTGTCACCTCTGACTCCCCTTTTTCTTCCTCTTCCCCTCCTAAAATATTCTCTATCTCCACCACCTCTACTACTTCCACTCTCCCCTGCCATGACTCCCCCGTACCTCCCCCGCCCATAGCCCCCGCTTCGGGATCCTCCCACACCGCGCCGAGCTGCGGGTCCAGGTTCGGCACCGCCTGCCACGCCACGTCGGACCGGTGCGCGCCGGCCTGGCTCACGCTGGCACGTGGCGAGCACACGCGCACGCGGCCTTTGAGGGAGTTGCTACTGGAAGCGGACGAAGCTGCGGCGATCCTCCCGCGGGGAAGGAGAGCCGCGAGCCAAGCAGACGAAGCAGCGAACCAACCCCAGCGCTCCCGCGATTGCTCGCTCCGCTCCTCGCGCTCCTCGCCCTCCCCGCGCTTCTCCGCGGCTGCCCCTTTTTCCGTCGTGCCACAGCAGCTAGAACCCGCCAAGGCTGCTGCATTTCCACTCTCCTCGTCTCCATCATACTCCTTGTCTTCCAGTTTTTTCACAAGCTGGGGATCCGCAGCACCGCCAGCAGCGGCGGCAGCGGCGGCGGCGGCGGCGGCGGCGGCGGCGGTATTTTTGCGGCCTATGAAATAAAGACGCACTATAACCACCATGGCCGCAATCAGCAGCAATCCGCAGAAGCAGAAACCCGCAAGAATGGCGATCGAAGCGTTTTTAGACAGCCCGTTGATGCTGAACGACGACTCCTCGCTGCTGCTGCCGCCGCTGCCGCTGCCGCTGCCGCCGGTACTGTCGACGGTGCTGCCGCTGCTGCTGTTGCTACTGCCAGAGCTCGAGGTACCATTATCAACCCCCGTGCTTCCCGCATTCCCCCCGTTCCCTCCGCTTCCTCCGCTTTGCCCTCCGCCAACCCCGTTTTGTTCTCCGCCTCCCGCTGCCCCCGCGCCCGGGCTCCCCGCCTGACCCTTGTCGCCCATCCACCAAGCGGGTGGTTCCTCTTGCGCACTGCTGCTGCTGTTCCCGCCTTCCGCCCCGGGCAGCTGCGGAAAGAACGCCGGATTAGACGGCGCGGAACCCGGCGAGGGCGCCGCGAGGGAGGAGTTATCGCCGGGGACGTGCCCGCGCCACCATTCGACCCCTTCCACACGGTCGCCATTCTCTGTGTAATGAGGCGGCGCGGTGACCTCTCCGGTGGGGTATGGGATGTTGCCGCCGTGCATTGCGAGAGGCATGAGCGCGTTTCCGCGACTACTGCTCTGCGAACTGTTGTCTGCGACCGTTACAGCGGTTGGTAACAGCTGCGAAGGATCGTACCCAACAGGTCCGCCCGATGTTGGGAAGTCTGCGTAGTCGTACGGATCATCGTAACCGTACGGATCGACGTGACCGTACGAATCGACTTCTTGAAGCCCGCGCCATTGTAACGAGTGCAACGATCCTAGGGAGTCTAGAGAGGCCCACGCGGGGTTGCGATCGGGGCCGTTGATCCGATCACGATCGTCGCGGGAGAACCCGAGCGATTTGCGCGATTCCGTCGCTTGATGCGACGCGTCTGTCGCCGCGGCAACGAGGGCGACGACGAGGGGAAGGAGAGCGGCGCGAAACGAAGCCGATCGAATCCTGAGTTCATGGGAGCGGGTTTGAAGGAGTGTCGATCTGGAGAAGCGAGCGAGTGTAGTTAACGGTTGTTGCAGGCCCCCCCGCGAAGAGGAGCCAACGGTTGGCCCTCTCATCGGAAACCGTAAACTGTGAAAAGGGGAAATAAGAGTGTAATACTAGACGGGGAGTCTATTTCTTAATCTTCGAATGTACAAAATCGGGCCACGAATCTGCGCCGAGGTAAGATGGAGATGTGAAAGTAAAAAGAAGGAAATGAATGGTCATGGAAAACCAGGGAAGTTTGGGAGAAACTACTTGTGCTAGAGAGCGTAACGCTTGCCACGATTGGCTTTGCCGCGTTCGTCGTCAGCATTGCGGAGCTTTGGAAATAGGAGAAGTAAATGCGTGCAGGCTAATGGAGCAAGGCATGAGATACCAATTGACCGAAACACTGAATTCTTTTCGCGCGGTAAGCTGTCCTGCCACGGAGACAGCAGCTCCAGAATCCGGAAACAGCAGCAGGAGCATCTGAGTCCTCAGACCTTGACGGAGTAAAAAATGGCTGGTAAATGTGATCGAGCGGGGAATTATGCAAGTCTCCATTGCAGGAGCATCAGCACAATCACAGCAGGCAAGGCAAGTATAGCAGATTAAACGCTTTAGTGAGCCAATGAAATCGTTTTGGTCTGGTCATGCCTGAGTTCGTGCAGCTGTCGTGTCGTGCCGTGTGTGTTTGCGCGCGCGTACACAGAGACAGACAGAGGACGCGTTCCCCTCCCCCATCTGAACCTCCCATCCCATCCCAGTCTTTACCTGATTTGCCAGAATGCACCGCTCTCAGATTCTGACTCGTGAATGTCGGAAAATGTGGCGCACATTTCGAACCGCGTAGATGCCCGCCATCGCGGCGCGGACTCCCCAACGACCCAAACACAAGTCTGCAGGTTGGGTTTTTGCCAGAGGCGCTGGCGAATCAGGAGAGCAGGTAGGGGTTTGCCCCTCGCTATTGGCTAGAAGGGGCTGTGTTCTGCTCCCGCACCAGTGTTCTCGTTTTGCACTGCGCCAACTGGTTTCAGTTAATAAACAAGACTGCAATATTAAAACGCATTTATGCCTAATCAACAATCCCCATTTCATGCAAACTTAGAACCAAGTGCCTTATATAGCTAATCGAGGAAAACATGCATATGTTAAGAGTTTTTGTAATAGGATCAATATATTGAAGTGTAAAAACGAGTTTATATTGCTGATTTCTGGTGGTTGTGTTGATATGTTCGTGATTGCACTTCAGTTCCGGATCACTGCAGTTCCGGATTCAGAACAGCCTCAGTACCAGAGAAGTACACAAGTGCAGGGGCGGACAAACATATACATGTGCTGGTAAATGTATGATGGATAACCCCAGGTCGTCAAGTGCAACTGATTCAAGGTAAGCCCGAGTAGGCTAGTGTTTTCAAATGTCAATAATGTCAAGAAAGCGCTTAGCCAAGGCTCTGGCTTTCAAGGGCATAGGTAACAAAGGCAGCACACATGCACGCACGCAACATGCTGCTCCTAAAGCCTCCAAATCTACTACTTAATAGCGTAGAAAGAGTACAGCGAAGGGGGAGAGAAAGGGAACCAGAGAGGAACGAGTAACCATAAACGCTACCTTAGATACCAAATAACCCGTGGTCCACGAGGGGGGAGACCAGCACCTCGTAGTACCGAATTCCGCCCGGCGCACGGACAGGATTGCGGGGAAGGGGTTGGAAGGTGGGGGAGCGGAGGGGGGGGAGGATGAGGAGGAAGGGGGCGAAGGATCGGGGTTTTGTCAGTACGGGTCAAACGAGGGATGCCGACGGGGAGAGCAGGCGCGTCGTAAACGCACAAATCTCGACGTCTCTCCAAGTGAGGGGCCTCTCTCCCTGCTCTCTCTCGGTCCTCAGGCTGTTCGGATAGACGACGGCGAGCCGGGGCCTTCCTCTTCGTCGTCAATCATCACGGCCTTGCCCTTGTGCTGGGCTCCGGACGGCACGACGCGCCCGATGAGACACATGCGCCACACGAGGAGCGACCCGAGGATGAGCAGGATGCCGCCCAGACAGCACGCCACCACGATCGCGATCGACGCGCCCTCGGGAAGCCCATTGATGCTGAATCCGCTGCTGCCGCTGCTGCCGCTGCTGCTGCTGCTGCTGCCGCTGGAAGGGCTGCTGCTGCTTCCAGACGTTCCCTGCTCCTGCTTCTGCTGGTTCTCGCCGGCCGAGCTATCACCGTCACCGTCACCGTCGCCATGACCTTCATGGTCTCCGTCGCCGTCTCCGTCGCCGGCGCTCGGAGCAGAGGACGAAGGCGGCGCGGCGGTGCCGTTTCCAGAGTTATTGCGCCACCACACGCCACTCCCCCCTTCAATGCCTTCCACGCCGCGCCCGGCGTCCGTATCGTTATCACTCGTCGGCGGGGCCGGGTCTTTCGTGGGGTACGGCACCCTGCCGCCGTGAGTGCCGAGCGGAAGAAGACCGTTGGCGCGGCTGTCGCTGACGTCGGTGTCATTATCGCCATCGCCATCAGGGTCCTCGTCTGTAACACCCTTGATGACCAGAGCGGATCCGTCGTCGGGCGCGTCGTCGGTGGGGAAGTCCTTATAGTCGTACAGGTCGGCGTACGGGTCTTCGTTTTCGTCGAGGAACCGTCGCTGGGGGAGTGTGCGACGTTGTGTGAGGGATGCGGCGCTATGAGAAGCCAGGCATGGTAACGCCTGGGCGACGAGGAACGCGCACACGAGGATGGAGAGGAGCTTACTGGGTATCATGGCTGTTGATTGTGAATCAATGCCAATATTGTAATGTGAAACAATGACAAGGCGTTTCGTTTGCTGTCCAGTGATGGACCGAGGAACAAGGTGTCACAGAGGGGCCGTTGAATCTGAGCAATTTAACACGTAATATTATGATTCCGCACATTAAAAAGCTCCGAGGAAGAGTGTGAACTTGGACTAGACTTGGTACGAGGAGACAACGAAGTTTGAGCTCTACAGGACTCGCAGCAGGTATAGTGTGTGTTCCTGTCGGCGTCACAGGCGCCTCGGGACACAGGCTTTTGCACAGGACTGGGTGCAGAGAAGGCCGCAGGCGGGCACAAAAAGTGAGCGCGCAAAGAAAGTGCTTGCTGGCATGTGGGCGTGGGCGAACCAATAAAATGTTTGGTGGAGTCAAGAAGGAATATTGGCGAACGGGTTACGAGAGCAGTCGAGACGCGACGACGACTGCGCAACGAAATGAAAAGCTGAAATTTCTTATCGCCTGGACTTCTTGGGCGCAGGGCGCTGAAAGGAGGGAGGGAGATGCCTGCCAGAAATTTGTCACACCGTTGTGCGGTACAGCACACAGGGCGCCGTATGAGCGACGCGAAATGTGGCAGAGAAGAATCTCTGTCACACGCGGTTCGGAGATGTGCAGCAGAAGAACGCTTCCCCGCAAGGAAAAGGTCAATTGGTCTGGCGAGGGTTGCGCAACTGCCTGGCCGAATGAACCGCCCATCCGATATCCAGTAAGCGTATTATCTGCTCATTACGGTGTACTTTTACCCTGCCATAATAATATAGGATTTGAATCAGATGCTGCATGGGTTCCATTGGCGGTAACATAATCAATTTAGTCATACTATGTTATTTTTTTGGAAAATGTTTTATCCTTAATTGGAATAAAGAGAAGAGGAATCAGTGATCGTCTCACTTTGAATGTAGATGCTCTACCTCTAGATTGGAGTGATGAAAAGAAGAAGTCATGTAGACATGTAAATTATTTCGACATATTGCATGACGTACTCACCTGCAGAAATCCATGTAGCGAAACAAAGCACGGCGAGGATAGACAAGATATGGCTGCGATGCGATTTCATAAGAACTGTGGGAGAAATCCGCTAACCACACATCGTAATGGCACTTGAAATCAGGCCTTCAATGCTGTATGCGGCGAGCATTGCACTTTCAACAGAAAACCCATCGGAGCAAGTTTCGGAATTACCCACTCCATAACCAGGAGCAACTTCCACATGATTACACGTAGTATACACCCTGTTTCGCGCTAGCAGAGCATCTGGTTGCAGAACATGCACTGGTTGTAGAACGTCACCACGTTTGAAATGGTCTTATCACCGACGGTACAAGCACATTCACAAGAAAGCGGTTAGCTAGGATGCTGCATGGTAAAGAACATTAAACAAGCGTTTCAAAGCGGTTGAAAAGGGTATACAGCGATAAAGAAAAAATTTGCCCCCAGTACCACTCCGTCAGCTGGTGCGGCTTTGCCCGCAGGTTTCAGCCATACGGTTTATGGCACCTGACCGCACTGTAGCAGCGAATCGCGCAAGGTGAGAGGGTCGAGAAACAGGGTGTACCTCCAAAAGCAAGCCAAGTTGGTGTTTTGGACATCACTGTATAACATGACTAGACCACGTGACAGATGCTGCCATTTCTACAGAGCAGAGGGCAGGCTAAACGTCGAGTCACGTGCGTGAAATGGAAGCCCCGACGTCACTTCAAGCGGACTAGTATTTCCGCATAACGTTGCAGCTGTTTCTTTGCGACTTGGGAGGGCTGCAGTACAGTATGGGGTTCAAGATCTCCATCGACTTGTGTTTGCACACGGCTACCCACACTCGTGTCAGCCTGTGTCAGTCAGGTTTTCGTTTCAATTTCGTGTCATGCGCACTACTGGTTTTCGTTTCAATTTCGACTGCTCGCCACCCCAGCACAGGAATGGAGGTTCGGTCGACTGCCAGGTCGGGCGTTGGGGGCACTCTCAAAACTTATACAATAGGGTTGACAGTTTTTTCGTCTTGGTCTTCAGCTTTCTCAAGTTTCGAGCTTCCCTAAAACGAGTATTTTGCGCTTTTGCACTTTCCATGTCACATCGGAGTGTCGAATCGAAGGCTGCTGCCAATGTTCCAAACCTCGTGGAGAAAGTGTCGCCTCACCTGAAAACAATTGTGGAAAAATCTCTGGGCGCTTTTGACGTCACTCGATCGGATAAGCAGCCAATGGGCGTTGCTGTAAAATGGGATGTAGTCTTTCCCCATCACAATGCATTCGTTCTCTCCCTTTTAGCCCTCATTACAGTACTACCCCGCTTCGATCTAACGTTGACTGGAAGAGGTGACGGTGTCGCGCAATACTTAGAATGATTTCCTCAATGTGTGGTGAAGTCTGGCTGCCATTTTCGTCTCCCATTCATAAATTCGTTCTCTTCTCGTTGTTTGAACCGCCAATTCGTTGCGGTTTCACTCTTCGTCTATAGTTATAGCATTTTCTGCCCGAGTAACCCCTTTTGGAAATGCCTGGCCTGGATGCACGCGACTCGAAGCAAGAGGTGGCGTGCTTGGTCGGGATTCACCATTTACTGCACCACACATCGTTTCGTCGTTGTGTCTTCTGTTCCGCCTGTGCCACAACGATCGTCCTTGCGTCTGGTGCAGCATCTGCCCAGCAAACAGTAACGAATGCATCCAGCCCATACCCTCCATAGTTGTGGTATCGCACCACATCACCACCGTCACCTGCATCAGCTTCGTCGCAACACACATCACAATCTCATTGGCAAGCAATTTAGATCAAGCATTCACCCTTACATAGGCTCGTGGCGACCTCGGTTCCTCAGCATTCGAGTTTTCCCCATTTGCACGTCTGCCGCTCGAGCACAATCTCACTTCCCCTGTATCGTTTTCCTCTTCCAATGGCGACATGCATGTCGTCACGGGCATCGCCAGCAACCCAGCCTGCAGGATCTGGGACCAACGGGTTTGGACCTTCATCGAGCTTCGTTCTCTCTATTGACATGCTCGACGCGGCAAAAAGCTGGCAACAGCAGCAGCAGCAACAGCCGCATCCGCCACCGAAACGAGCGACTTTCACGGCGGTAAAAAAACCCGCAAATGCCGCCCAAACGGCGGGGATCAACGCTCAGAATAGCGCAGTAGGGGTGGCCTCCACGTCCGTCGCCGTCTCCGCCGGCGCCGGGCCCGCCTGCGGCGTCAACTCTTCATCGTTCCACCTCGGAATCCTCTCTTCGGGAGGGGAACGTATTTGCCCAATCCCGTGCGTGGACTGGCGGGAGGCGGCACGGAAGGCGGAAGAAACGCGCATGCTGGCCAGCGAGGTATGCCCCATTCCCGCGCAGAACTGGCGGAAGGACGCGCCCCGCGCCGAGACCCGGAGTAGTACACTAGCGGCGGCGAAGCGGGAAGCTCAAGGAGCGGGCTCCGCGTCAGCATCGGAGCGAGAAAATAAGACGGAGAGTTCCTGCGGCAGTACCAAGCAGCCGCTCCTGCAACGAGGCAATCCCAATGCGGCCGGCCATCACAAAGCGGCACTTTCCGTGACGGTCGAAGAAGCGTCATGTGAGGACCCTTCAACGGACTTCCCAGCACATTCCGAGACTGAGAGTGAGTCTAAGCTTGTCACGCTCGGAGAAGCGGCATCGTCCTCCTCAGTGCCTCCATTTCGAGTCGGGGTTTTCTCCGCGCAGTCGCAGCTCCGGGAGAACGCGCCGTTTGGTTCCGCCTCGCCGGCGGCCTCCCCCACGCCGTCCGCGTGCTCCGCGCGCTCTTCCGTCATTTCGACCTTCTCGATTGCGCGCCGCTCGTCCTTCACTTCCTCCGTCTCCAGTTCCGTCAGCAGTGGCGGCAGCAGCAGCAGCGGCGGCGGCGGCGGTTACGGCGACTTCACGCCGCCCATCTCCCGCTGCAGCACGCTCCTGGGAAGCGCGAGTAGCACCATCGACGAGAACGACGAGCCGTCTTTCGCGGAACGGAAAGAGAGGGATGCGACGCCGTCGTATCTCCTCTCGTCCTGCCCAAAATCCCATCAGCGACGGTCCGCCGATTACCACGCCGATGAAGACGGGGGAGCGGCGTTTACCCGCGTGTCCACTGCGCCGTCCGTCGCGGACAGCAGCAGATCGCGTCCCCCGCGGCTCGTGATGGAACGTCTGCGCCTCGGCCTGCCGAACCGCACGTCCTCGCTGCCTCTACGCGGCCTCGACTCGCCTACCGCCTCCTCTGCTGCTAACTCTCCTGCCGCGAATGACACGACTCGCACGACTGGCATGGCTGGGATGGCTCGTACGAGAATGAGCGGTCGTTCCGTGCCCAAATGCTCCTCCCTGATCTGTGATCCTGCGCCTGCGGGGTTACATTCACCTGTATCTCAAAATACATGGGAGCACATGCAACGACCGACGGTGGCAGCAGCAGCAGGTGTGAAGGAGCAAGGGGGCGACGATCTACAGATGGATGGGGGGGAGACGAGAGGGCAGCAGCATTGGTCGGAGGAGGAAGGGATGGGTGAGGTGGAACGCGAATCGCCATTCCTTGCTGAGTCAGCCTGCCTTAACTGGAAAGGTGAATAATCCCTCTTCCTCAGCTTACCCGAAAACGTCTACCTTATTTACATTGCATCTGTCCTTGCTGTTTCCTGCTTTTTATGGTCACTAACCTTACCTCCTCCTTTCCTCCGTTGTCTGTTGTCTGTTCTGTTGTTTGTGCAGATGTCGAGGAGCTGTGTCATCGAATGGACATAGCAGGCATTCGCATAGAAACCCTGGACATCCAACCACTGGATGATAATAGCCAGGCTCAACAAGGTTCATCAAACCTACACCATCCTGCTGCAAAGGCGCACACAGGCATGACCGCAACAGCAGCAGCAGGCCGCTCTGGGCCGATGTCTGTTGGTACGGACATGACAAGATTCGGTGAGGGGGATTCGTGTGCAAGTGCGGCATCAGTGGTGGCACTTAAGTTTAGTGGCATGCACATGTGGTATTATCCTGGTGACAACGTGAAGCCACTATTTCGTGATGCTGTGCAGTGGTGACGGGTTTGGCGATGGCGTGGTGATGGTGCCGTTGCTCGCTTACCTATGTGGCGGCGTTGCCAAACCGGTCTAACATACCGTAGGCGACCTGAACATTACTTGCAAAGTTTAGTTTAGATTGTTCGCAAACTCGCAAACTCTTGTTTAATTGTATGGTTTACTTCTTTCTTACCCGTACCATATTGTTCCGATCCTGTGTATCAGCAGCAGTGCAGCTGTATCTGTATATCAGTTCAGTATTGTTCTGGATTTATAGGTTTGGAAGCTAGGTTGGCGAATGTAACCACATGCTTGTCGGCCGTTTACGCGAATTGCGTAACCACCAACCAGTCGCCACAGCCACCCCTCCCTCCCTCTCATCGCATCCCACCCAACCCACCGTCTTCCATCAAATACCTCTCGTCCCTAGATTCGTCTTCCTTCAATTTGGAAAAGAAAGAACTTTTCTACTACCACCATGGCTCCCGCTGCTGCATCTTCAGCCGTGTTCGCGGCGGTCTCGGCTGTCCCTTGCTGCCCTGCTGGTCCGTCGCAGGCTACCTCCTGCAGACCGTCGCATGCTTCGCCGGTCGTCGCATGCGGGGTGTCGCTGGCACGATGCGGCCCGTCTGCCGTAGCGTCCACACGTGCGACGTCGAACCTTAGCTCCGAGTTCGTCGCATCGCGATCGGCGATCGCACGCCGCGTCCAAGACACCTCCCGAAGCGTCGTTCGTCGCACGCGATCGTCGCCTGCGACGTCGCCCACGTGCTCGCTGCCGTCGCTGGAAGACACCCCTGCGACGCCCATAATTACCAGCGACGGTTCAGTCGCCGCCTTCCCCGCAGCGTCCGGCATCTACGCGATCTACGATAAAGAAGGCACGCGGGGGAACCGGGCGAGCGAATGGGGGGTTGGGGAACGGATGGGGTGGTAGAGAGAGGTCGGAATGTGCGGAGGGAAATACGTGGGAAAAGGCGGCGGCGAATGTGCGGAGAATGGCGGGGCAAAGTCGGCGGGGAATGGCGGGGGAACGTGCGGGGAACTTGCGGGAATGTGCGCGGAACTGCTGGCGGCGAGCCTCCGCTTTCTACTCCTCCCCCATTCCTCTTCTTCGCCCGCCTACGTCCGCCCAATCTCCACCCCGCCCACCCCTTCCCCTCCCCCTTTTCCCTTCCCCCCGTCCCCCAGGCGCGCTGCAGTACATTGGGCTGTCGCGGCGGCTGGCGGCGAGCCTCTCACTTCCCCCTTCCCCTTTCCCCCACCCGCCCCTCCCCCCTCTCCCCGTCCCCCTTCCCCCCAGGCGCGCTGCAGTACATGGGGCTGTCGCGGCGGCTGGCGGCGAGCCTGCAGGCGCACGCGGAGGACCTGCCCGAGATGTGCGGCGCTGTCAAGGTAGGGGGGAATGGGGGGATGGGGTTGGGAAGGGGGAGGGAGATCATGGAAGGGATGGGGCGAATGAGGGATGCAGGCGCACGAGGAGGACCTGCCCGAGATGTGCGGCGCTGTCAAGGTGCTTGGAGAGGGGTGGGGGGGGAAAGAGGGGATGGGGGGGAATGGGGGGATGGTGAAGTGCGGGGAATGATGAATGCAGGCGCACGCGGAGGACATGCCCGAGATGTGCGGCGCTGTCAAGTTGCAGAGCGGAATGGGATGGGGGGGATGGCGGAGTTGGGGGAATGTTGGTTGCAAGCTTTGGTCACCTTTCTTTTAACTGATTCCTCCTCCCCATCACTCGTACCTACCCCATGCAGCTGGTGGTGGTAGCGGCGACGAACAAGGAGGCCTTGGTGGAGGCGTGGAAGGCGTGGATGCGTTGAGCGGCCACTTCATAAAAAGTGTGGATGCGTTTCATCCCACTTCCTTGCATCCACTCCCTCCCTTCCTCACTCCTTCCTTTTCTCCCTCCCTTCCCCACTCCTTCCTTTTCTCCCTCCCTTCCTCACTCCTTCCTTTTCTCCCTCCCTTCCCCACTCCTTCCCCAGCTGGCTGTAGTGGCAGCAACCAACAAGGAGGCGCTGGTGGAGGCGTGGAAGGCGTGGATGCAGGAGCACGTGGCAGGCACAGGCAAGGTGCCGCCGGGCAACGAGAGCGGCAACTCCACGTGGACCACGCGGCGCGTGAAGCGCGTCAAGCCCGACCTGCGTATCGTGCCGGGACCCCATGTCAAGCTCACAATTCCGCTCAGTGAGGTGCGGGGCGGAGGGGGTTTGGGGAGGGGGAGGGAAGGGGAGCGGTGGGGAGGGGATGGGAGGGACGACAGGGAAGGGGAGGGGATGGGAGGGGACGAGCGGGGAGGGGAGGGGAGGGGAGGGGGAGTGGGGGACCGGCACAGTGGATGGTGTGTGGAACACAGCCAATCAGAACCTGATTCATGCATTGTAGAGAGGGAAAGGCTACGTCAAGTCATCTTTGAGATGACTCAAAAGCACATTCTCTCTGCCCATGACCTTTCCCTCTTCCCCCACCACCCCTTCCCCCTCACCTATCACAGCTGATTGCGAAGCTGGTGAAGGAGAACAGGGTGGTCTTTGAGTCAAACTTAAAAGCATCTTTGGGTCATCTTTTCTCCGCCCTCACCCTCCCCTTTCCGCTCCCCGTCGCCCTCCCCTCGCCCTTCCCTTTCGCCCTTCCCTTCCGCCCTTCCCTTTCGCCCTTCCCTTTCGCCCTTCCCTTTCCTCCTATAGCAGCTGATTGGGAAGCTGGTGAAGGAGAACCGGGTGGTTGCATTCATCAAAGGCACTCGGTACGTTCCCATCCTCTTCGTATCATCTTCGTATCCCCCACATGTATCCTTCCACAATCCCTCCACAATCCCGCCACCATCTCGCCCCTCCCATCCAATCCCATCCTTCCCTCCCTCCCTCCCTCCGTCCCTCCCCTGCCTCTCTCCCTCCTTTCCCAGCCCCTTCCTGCCCTCTGATTTCCTCAGTCTGATTTCCTGCCTTTTTCCCACCGGGTGTGCAACAAACTCTGTAGTTCCTATTTGCGTAACCTTCTATGGACGATTCGCTTCACCTCATCCCTCCCCTGTGCGCCTTTCTCCTCTCCCCACCCACCACCCTCCACCCACCACCCACCAACCCCCAGCACATCCCCCCAGTGTGGCTTCTCGCACCGCGTGCTGACGCTGCTGAACGAGGCGAGGGTGGACTACGAGACACTCAACGTGTTGGATGAGGACCACAACCCGGGCATCCGCGAGGGCATCAAGGAGTACAGGTGAGGGGATGGGTGGGGGCTCGTGAGGGGGTTGTGGTGGCTTTGTGGGGTGCGTTGTGGTGGAGATGTGATGGGGGTCGTTGTGGGGGGCTGGGCTGCATGTGAGACGTCCCAAGGGTGGACTACGAGACGCTTAATGTGTTGGAAGAGGACCACAACCCAGGCATCTGCGAGGGCATCAAGGAGTACAGGTGGGTGCTGTGTGGTCCTGCTGGGAGGATCAGCAGTGGGGTGCGGTGGGGTGCAGTGGGATGCGGTGGGATCCTCGACGTGCTGGACGAGGACGGCGTTCTTTATGTTGGAGCCTCCAGTCCACCTCCAGTCCGTACCTCCAGTCCACCTCCAGTCCACCTCCAGTCCACCTCCAGTCCACCTCCAGTCCACCTCCAGTCCACCTCCAGTCCACCTCCAGTCCACCTCCAGTCCACCTCCAGTCCACCTCCAGTCCACCTCCAGTCCTCACCTCCCCTGTTCGCCTATGCCTTTCCCCCCCCAGCCAATGGCCCACCATCCCGCAGATATTCGTGAACAAGGAGTGCATTGGGGGAGCCGACATTCCCAAGGAGATGCTTCTTTCCAGTCCCACCCACCTTCCCTTCCCAAACCCTCCTCCCACCTCCGCTCTTCTCCTTTGCAAATTGCAACCCCCCGTCCCCCAGCCAATGGCCCACCATCCCGCAGATCTTTGTGGACGGGGAGTTTATTGAGGGGGCGGACATTCCAGAAGAGATGCCTCTTTCCACCTCCACCCACCTCCACCCACCTCCCCTCCAACTTCCCCTCCCACCTCCGCTCTTTGCCCCCCAGCCAATGGCCCACCATCCCGCAGATATTCGTGAACGGGGAGTTCATTGGAGGAGCCGACATTCTCGAGGAGATGGCGCAGTCTGGGGAGCTCAAGGAGGTGCTGGCCGCGCCCAAGCAACAGACTGCTGCCTAGGTTGACAGCGGTTGACAGCGGTTGACAGTGGTTGGCAGCGGTTTCCTGCGGTTTTAGAGTTATTCGCAGTGGAGTGGCAGGCCGAAGACTTCGTGATTTTGTTGAAGCGGGGAAGACAGTAGCGGTGCAAGAGACTTTCAGTATGGACCATTTTGACAGGGATAGCTCCGCCTGGGTTTACCCTGCTGTTCAATGCTTACAACAAAGTATCCATTTTGAGAAATGAGGTTGGAAATCTATCCTTGCCTGGGGGGTTGCATTCACAAATAGGGCTACTGGCAAGGTAAATGTGGATTACCGGTAAGAAACAGCACTGTACGGTGGTTGTTTGGGCAGGCTCCTTAGAAAGCTCTACATACAGGCCTCACCTCACCTCTCAGCTGGAATTTTGTGAATGAAGGCCAGTCAGTGCAAACTGGCTGCTTGACAGACATGTTCTCAGCTCGCCTGCCAGGGTAGAGACCGTCGTTTCCCATTGGCTGGCAGTATACTTTATCTCGGTTTACACTACTTTATCTCGGTTTACGCCATTGTGGTGAAACCGGCTCAGCTTTTCGGCAACATAACATACACTTTCAATGGGAGGATGCCTAAGCTAAGCTACATGTAGGTACCGCAGTTACCGTATCATCGGATATAAGGAACATGGACATATCCATCCATGCACAGTGATCAAGGCTAACACCACCACCACAACCACCGCCATGCTACAGTATCCATGACACATTGTGTTTCATGCCTATGTCAGGAATGGTACAGTACATTAGAATGACATGTGGGAGGCAGCGGCAGTTTAGAAGGGCAGCTGAGGCAGGGAGGCGAGAGTGGCGGCAACCATGTCTGACGAGACGTATCCTGCCAGGTACGTTGCCATGCGACCGACTTTTGAGGCGCCTCAGAAGTTTAGAAGGGCAGCTGAGGCAACTGCGGCAGGGAGGCAAGAGTGGTGGCAACCATGTCTGACGAGACGTATCCTCCTGCCAGATACGTTGCCATGCCCGCTGCATACCCTGCCAATGCCACTCCACTGACCTGCACAACACAAGCACATGACAGCCGCAAACACACACACCCACCAACCCACAAACAAACACACAAATGGCCCAGATGACAAGCTATGAGCCGGTTGGTTTTGGGGAATTTTTCACCAGCCAGCAGGACAACCAGCGATACCAGAACTCAAGTCAAGAGCCCTCTTTCCAACAAATGCCCCCCACTTTCCCTCACGCACCTTGCGCAGGTACCAGAAAAAGCCCGCCTTCTCCATGCCCATGTACGCCACACCAGGGCACACAGCACCACAGCACCCCCCTCTGCACACAACACCCCTGCCATCCCTTCCTACCACATCGCTCTGTCTCTCACCTTCCGCAGGTACCAGAAAAAGTCTGTCTTCTCCATGCCCATGTACGCCACACCAGCGCACACAGCACCACAGCATCCTGCTTCATACAAAAACCCAGCCCCAGTCTCCCATCCCCCGCCCCACTGCTCTCACCTTGCGGTACCAGAAGAGATCCGTCTTCTCCATGCCCATGTACGCCACACCAGAGCATCACGCCATCATGCTTCATACAGTCCCGAACTCTCCCATCCCCCTCTTCTCCCCTGTACCCCTTCCCAGCACGCACCTTGCGCAGGTACCAGAAGAAATCCGTCTTCTCCATGCCCATGTACGCCACACCAGCCGCCGACCCAATGATGAGGATTGACCCGCCTGTGCCCGCACAGTATGCAATCAGCTGCCATAGCTCCGCGTCTGCTGGGAACTGCAGTGGTGAACGGGAGAGAGATACAAGAGACACAATGGACGGCGAGTGAGCGAGGGAGAGAGAGACCCAATGATGGGGATTGACCCGCCTGTGCCCGCACAGTATGCAATCAGCTGCCATAGCTCCACATCTGCTGGGAACTGCAGTGGCGAACGGGAGGGAGATACAGAGGACAGCAAGTGAGCGAGACAAAGGAAAGGAACCATCCACCCTGTTCCGCTCACCGCCCTATCTCCCACACCCTCCACTCCCCCTCCCTCCCCCAACATAGTGGCGGCCACCAGAGTCAACACCCACCCTGCCTCGCTCACAGCCCCCTCTCCCACTTTCCCTGCCACTCTGTGCAACGCCCCAGCCCCTTGTACATACCACATTCATGTCGTACATGCCCATGGTGGTGGGGCGGCCACCAGAGGCACGTTGTCAATCCTCGCCTCGCCCATGCCTTCTCTCCTTCGCCCCTCTCACCACGCCTCACTCATCTCAATCCACCCTCTTCCCCACCCCCCAACACGTACCACGTTCATGTCATACATGCCCATGGTGGCAGCCACCAGAGGCACGTTGTCAATCACAGCAGAAGCCAGCCCGATGGCCCCTGCGATCAGCTCCACGCTGCCCACGCTGCTGTCCAGCCGCCCCGCGAGGTCCTTGAGCAACCCTGCTGCCTCCAGACTGGTGGGGAATGGGGGACAGGGGTAGGGGCAGGGGCAGGGGCAGGGGCAGGGGGAAGAAGAGAAATGGGGGAATGGGTTGACTTGGGATGCTCGTTCTTTACACCCCTGCAATGAGAAATGGGGGAGTGGGTTGACTTGGCACAGGCATGGCACAGGCATGACACAGGCATGGCACAGGAATGACACAGGCATGGCACAGGCATGACACAGGCATGGCACAGGCATGACACAGGCATGGCACAGGCATGACACAGGCATGGCACAGGTATGACACAGGCATGGCACAGGCATGACACAGGCATGGCACAGGCATGACACAGGCATGGCACAGGCACGGCACAGTCAGCACGACCCTACCCACCTGCCGACGGAGAGCAGGATGCCGAGGAAGAAGAGGATGCCCTGCGTGTCGATGCGCGACAGCGCCTGCGGCACCTTGAGCCGCTGCCTGTCGCTCTCCCCGTAGTGAATCGCGTCTGTCAGCAGCCACAGCGCGCCCAGGCCTGGTGGTGGTGGGGAGAGTTACAGCATAATGAACAGGGGAGTAGCAGGTGGAAGTGGGTAGGGGGAAGTGGTAACCCAGGTTTGAGAGAGTTGTCCTGCCGCATTGGCAGTACATAAGGTAAAGAGATGCCCCTACAGGGTGTTTCTGAGAATCCTCAAAAACACCCTACATAAGGTAAAGAGATGCCCCTACAGGGTGTTTCTGAGAATCCTCAAAAACACACTACATAAGGTAAAGAGATGCCCCTACGCTGAAGACTAGACACCGGAGTAGAAGAGGAGGATACGCGGACAAATGGAGAAGAAAGGTGGGGGGACACAAGAGGATGTGAAGGCATGAAGATACGAGTAAAAAGAATGAGCACAGGCACACCCCCTCGCACACAGCACTGACCTGAGAGCATGCCCAGGTAAGGCGGCAGGCCCGTGAGAGCCTTGAAGGCAGGCACGAAGATGATCGATCTGATGCCCACTCCAAACACCAAACGCCAAGACCAAATACCAGCCACCAAACACCAAATCCAGCACGTGGGGGGTAGCAGAGGGAAAGGAGGCAAGGAAGGAAGAACAGACACGCCCATACCTGCGAGCATGCCCAGGTAGGGTGGGAGACCCGTGAGCGCCTTGAAGACAGGCACAAAGTTGAGCGATCTGATGCCCACTCCAAACACCAGCCGGCAAACACCACACCAAATACCAAACATTTGGTCAATGTCGGCATGCCGCGCAAAACACAGCGTACCTGCGAGCATGCCCAGGTAGGGCGGCAGGCCCGTGAGAGCCTTGAAGACAGGCACAAAGATGAGAGATCCGATGCCCACTCCAAACACCAGCCGGCCTCGGGGCGCCATGGCCTCGCTGGCGAATGTGGACTTGGCTGCTGCCGCCTTGTCACTGTCGCCCACCAGCGACCTGATAGGGTGTAAGGGTGTGGGGAAAGAGGGTGTGGGGATGCCATGGCTGTGAGGACATGTCAGGCGCCATGGCTGTGAGGACATGTCAGGCGCCATGGCTGTGAGGACATGTCAGGCGCCATGGCTGTGAGGACATGTCAGGCGCCATGGCTGTGAGGACATGTCAGGCGCCATGGCTGTGAGGACATGTCAGGCGCCATGGCTGTGAGGACATGTCAGGCGCCATGGCTGTGAGGACATGTCAGGCGCCATGGCTGTGAGGACATGTCAGGCGCCATGGCTGTGAGGACATGTCAGGCGCCATGGCTGTGAGGACATGTCAGGCGCCATGGCTGTGAGGACATGTCAGGCGCCATGGCTGTGAGGACATGTCAGGCGCCATGGCTGTGAGGACATGTCAGGCGCCATGGCTGTGAGGACATGTCAGGCGCCATGGCTGTGAGGACATGTCAGGCGCCATGGCTGTGAGGACATGTCAGGCGCCATGGCTGTGAGGACATGTCAGGCGCCATGGCTGTGAGGACATGTCAGGCGCCATGGCTGTGAGGACATGTCAGGCGCCATGGCTGTGAGGACATGTCAGGCGCCATGGCTGTGAGGACATGTCAGGCGCCATGGCTGTGAGGACATGTCAGGCGCCATGGCTGTGAGGACATGTCAGGCGCCATGGCTGTGAGGACATGTCAGGCGCCATGGCTGTGAGGACATGTCAGGCGCCATGGCTGTGAGGACATGTCAGGCGCCATGGCTGTGAGGACATGTCAGGCGCCATGGCTGTGAGGACATGTCAGGCGCCATGGCTGTGAGGACATGTCAGGCGCCATGGCTGTGAGGACATGTCAGGCGCCATGGCTGTGAGGACATGTCAGGCGCCATGGCCTCGCTGGCAAACGTGGACTTGGCTGCTGCTGCCTTGTCACTGTCGCCCACCAGCGACCTGGGGAGAGCGGGGGAGGTGAGGGGAAGGGGAGATTGGGGTGGGCGGGGGGTAGGAGAAGAGAGGGGGGAGGAGGGGAGCGGACAGTGGAGGAGAGTTAGGGGAAGAGGGGGGTTAGTGGCCTGGGGGGTAGTGAATCAGGTTTGAGGATTGTCAAACGTGAGAAAAGGAGGCAGGACGGGGGATAAAGGGGGGG